GTGAGTCATCGGTGGCTGATTTGCACGATGCTTAATGGAATGCTTTAGATCCACAAGCCTTGGAAACGGAATGCTCCATTCAAACTCCCACAATCCCGGGCCGGTTGAAATGGGTTTTGCAGATGTGCAAGACAACTATGAGTCTATGAGCTATAAACTTTTCCCAGGGGCGTTTTGGGTCTTAGCACGAACCAATTGAAGCATCTCAAGCAAGTGACTGAACTGATGAAGAGAGTTTGCAACACCCACTTCGGATGGTTCTTGCATGGTTAACACATGGGATTCAAGGTCATAGAACCATCCGAACTGGGCTGAGAAGGGTAGCACACTTGAATCAGGAGTTTTGCCATCCCATATGGGTTAGGGGCAAACCGCAAACCAGAAGTGTGTAGGCCAAAAAGTGACTGTGTGGCTGCTGAAGAGGGATACCGATTGCAGGTGATGTCATTTGCTTTTTTATTTTGCTGTTTTCTGCGTTTGCTTTTTCATTTGCTGTTGTTTTGCTTTTTGGCTGTGCTTTTTTTTGCTTTTGCTTTTTGTAGTTGTTCTTTTTTGTTTTGCTTTTGTATTATTTGGCAAAAACATTAGAGTTATGCTAAGTGGTTAACATAAGTGTACCAACGTTCAGATTGTTCAAAGCACTTGGTTGGGAAAACATTGAGTCAGTGACGACACACATTGTGCTTTGGTTTAGATTTTGAGGTTGCTGTTGTAGTGAGAAAGTGTTGAACGTCCATCAAACTTTTCGTGCACGTCCAAGTACCTCAATGCTTGCGAAATCGCAGCTGGAAGTTCAGTTGGCCCGAGGCCTGGCTGCTAGTTCTCAATGTGGTTGTGAAGTTCATTCATTCCGAAGGTATGAGATTGACATGTGTCGATACCTTTTGGATTCTTTTCGCGGGATATCGTTCAGCAGATTTGGCTTGTGTTGTGAATGTGACGAGAGGAGGGCAACTCCACAGAAAATCGTGTCTAGAACGCAGACAAAAAGAGTCCGTCACCTCGGCTCATGTTTTAGACATTGGCAAAGCCAGTCGCTTTCAAGCAATGTTGTGGTCAAAGCCTGTTGCATAGAGGATGAACTGATGAACCAAGAGAATTCAAGTGCCGGACACTCAACAACAAGAGACACGCCAAGACGCACTCTGCACGACTTAGGTTCCCATGGAGGTTACAGCGGCGTTGTCTGGGAGAAGTTTGGCTAGGCTTGATCTTCTTGAGCCCTCGAACTTACAAATGCTTCCAAGCAATCAGCATGTTTGAGGCCAGCCCTAGGAAAATGAGCGCGGCTTCTTTCTTGATATCCTGCCCCTACTTTTGGGCTGAATGGAATTTGCCGTGTGTTGGTGCATACAAGCCATGTGTAAGAGTACATAAATCCCTTGCAATGCCAAAATTTACAGAACGGCAGCTTCTGGGAGTGCAGTTTTTCACATTCTTTTCATTAGCAATCGGCCTAGATTTTACAGGGAAAATGACAGGAATTAATCACTTGCAAAGGATGAATGACAGGAATAGATCATGTTTAAAAGGAAAATAATAGGAAATAATCATTTATAAGAACAAAATATAGGTATTCATCAATGTTAAAGGGAAAGTGAAAACATTTACTGATTTTTATTTAAAGGAAAAATTGAAGAAAGTTATACAAATTGCAGGCTGAAAGGGATTCATAGAAGGGAAAATGACATTAAGAGGAGAGCCAGAAACATGTAAACAAAATCTTCCAGACTCTCTGGAGGGGGGGTCCCAGCCAAGACTCTCTGAATATTGTGTGTGTGTTTTTTTTCGGGGTTCTGGAAGAAACCAAAAACAAAACTGCTGACCCCATGAAACATCCCCAGACTTCAGACATAAGGTGTGCAGTTCCTTAAAACTTATGTTCATTTTATTTCCATTGAAGAATGATTGTTTATTGGCATTGCTCTTCTAAACATGGTTTTTCCATTAAGGGATTATTTTCACTTTTTTCAGTTTGTAAATTAGTATGTCTTTTATTTGTTGGCTTTGATTGTTTCATGTTACAGAATAGTTGGTTCCTTTTAAAGGTTTTCTATTTTCAGTTCGTTGCCATTTAAAACTTGTGTTTCCTCTCATTTCCTTTTCAGAATGATTGGTCCCTGGTATTTTCATTTAAATATCATTATGTTCATTTATGCTCTTTTTTTTCCAGGAACGTTCTTTTTAAAAGGAACAGTTACTTTCAATTTTAAACATGGTTATTTCCTTTTATTGTCCTTGTAACAATGATTATTGTAGTGTTTGCTTCCTTTTTGGAAATGATTAATGTTTTTGATTTCTACTTTCTTTTGATAATGATGAAATCCTTTCATCTTCTCTTTAAACAATTTCTTTTTTCTATGTTCCTTTAAATGTTTTGTTGGTTCTTTTCGACTGCCTTTTGAAAATGAACAATTCCTGTCATTTTGCCTTTTTAACGAAGATTAATTTCTTTCTGATATGACAGTATATTTTAATATGAAAGGATATGATCAGTTTGATCAGTTTTAAAGTTCAATTTACAAGGGAAACATGAAAGGTAATCATAAAAGGAAAATATAATATAGAGGGAAATGATTATTTTTTAAAGGGAAAATGAAAGAAACTAATCATTTGCAAAGGATGATTTTAAAAGGAAAATAACAGGAAATAACAATTTTTAAGAACAAAAATAAAGGTATTCATCAATCTTAAAGGGAAAATGAAAACAGTCAGGTTTAAAAGGAAAATTGAAGGAACTTCTACAAATTGCACGTTGGAAAGGATTTGTAAAAGTGAACATGACATATGGAAGGACCGAATCATTTTTAAGAGGAAAAATGGAAGGGAAGCATAAACGGGAAAACTAAAAAAGGAAATGACCATGTTTAAAGGGCAAATGAAAGGAATCATAAAAGGGACAATGAAACATAAAGGAAATGCTCATTTTTGAACGGAAAATGAAAGACATGAATCGTTTGCAAAGGGTGAATGAAAGGAATAGATCACTTTAATCAGGAAAAGAACAGGAACTATTTTTAAAATAACAAATTGAAAAAACATCACCCGTAATCATATTATAGACGGAAAATTGAAGTAACTTATACAAATTACAGGTTGAAAGGGATTCATAGAAGGGAAAATGACATCTGGAAGGAATGAAGCAGGAAGTAGTACGAGATTGAGGTTTAACGTCGAGTTGTTATTTGTGATACGAACAGGCCTAGGTACTTAAATTACTAGTACGATTGATCCTTCAGGTGGTCAAGCATGAATCCCCATTTTAGGGTTCATTGAAAGAACTTGAAAGAACTGATCCCTGTTTGGCACACATTTGGCACACGAGCAAAGAACGCCAAATAAGGCAGGTTCACCGCGAAAAGTGGTCACACTGCCATCTACGGCAGTATTCGTTGATGCGACCAAAAAAAGTGGTCACATGGACTTCCAGGTACTATATAAGCGCAAGTCAGACAATGTCAGACATTCACCCACATCACCCACACCACAGACTAATGACCCCCACACTGACGAATGACGACCTCGACCACTCTAGACCCCCACGTGTTGCGACGACACTTCTATGGCAGCGCAAGCACCAAGTCTTATATCTGTGTGCAGGTGGTTGCAAAAGAAGCTTGCGTGACGCTTCAACATGTCCAAATGCTGCAATGGCATCATTTTGTGCGAGTTTACATTCTGCTTTGTGTGGAGGTTCATGTTGAACCATGGTTCAAGCATTGTGCCACAACTGCAGGGAGAAAAGCCAAACACGTGTGCATCACACAGAAGCCACCAAGGCCTGCATCCAAAAGCCAACGCAGGCTTGCTTCAAAAAGCTTGCCAACAGGCTTTCACCAAAAAGCCTGCCAAGGCTTGCATCATGAAGCCACCGAATGCTTGCAGTTGAAAAATTTGCACCAAAAACAACAAGCCAAGTATAGCTCGCGCAAAAGAGCAATCAAGCGCTTGTACTTAGCCATCTCCAGCTTGCAAAAAAAGGCAACCAATGCTTGCAAAAAAAGGCAATGCTTCCAAAGCCTAATATAGCTTGCTGGCCACAAACAAATGAACAGCAAAGAATTTCAATTAGCTGCGATGGCCTTTAATAAAAATATCATTATGATAGCTGTTGATTGCTTTTCAGCGTGGTGGTTTACAAAACTGAATCATATTGAAAAAGCTTTTTGCTGAAGCTTGCGGCATTTCATTTCTCTGGTATGTTTTTGGCATTCTTACAAATGTTTTTATGACAAAACAACAACAATATAAGAAAAAATAGAGTTGATGAACAAATTTGTACATATATATAGGATGCTTGAAAATGATGACTGGCTCAGCTAACTTTTGAGCTAACTTAGTTAACTTTTGAGCTAACCACCTGCTAAAAGTTAGCAGAATTGACAGGGTTAGCCTAACTTGATTTTTTTTAGCCCTAACCGTGTAACATGTATACAACATACTTCTAACATACATCTAACATATGTCTAATATACATCTAGTTAACTCAGATAACCATTCTAAGTACTTAGCAGGCACAGGGTTCGTCTAAGTGATCGCAAACCAAGCGTTTTCAAGCAATGTTGTGCTCAAAGGTCGTCGCATAGATATCGTCGCGTAGATAATTCAAGCCAGTGGTTTTGTTTTCCAGTTTTTTTGTTTTCCGTCCAGAGCGAGCGTTTCGTACGACACTTCCTCCAAGATTCACGCGTCAATCCTCCAAAACGAGCGCTTCGTAAGACTTCCTCAACAACTCACCCTTCGAGTCTGCAAAACGAGCGTTTCGTACGAGACTTCCTCCAAGAGTCAAGCGGTTCCCATCGCAGCACACACACATAGCAGCCCTGCCAAGCATTTTCGCGATTCCAGCCCCTCCAAACAACACCCGCACACACGCCAATCCGAATGTCACAGCGACATTCACCTCCACCACAACTCGTAACCTCACGATTCCCTGCGCCTGCCACGAAAATTTACGTGTCCACGACCGAGCCTGGTGTCGTTCTCGTTCACCGCGCCAGGTGCGGTTTTGTACGCCCCACGCCGGTGCAAAAGTATGCGATCCCCGCCGGACTGGAAGGCGCCGGACGGTCATCGGGACATCCAGATGTTTGATTCACCGGACCGGAAGGAATCGAGCGCCGGGAGCACCTGGGAGAACCCATCAACAATCATAAACCATTTTTTTCCAGGTTGATGTTGTTGTTGCTGTTGTTGTTTGTTGGTTGTTGTTTTCTGTGTCTTTTAGATCTTGCATATCAAGGAAACAACAAAACTATTATATAACCATCCAGACCGCCACTAGAGGAACAACAAGGATTCATGTTGTACGTTCAACGTTTCAAGTTGAATGTTTTCTTGCTCGACTCACCATATGAGCAACTGCCACATCCTCCGAGGAAGGCAGCATCACTACAGTCAAAACATAGGTAAAATGAAGGAAACCTTCAGGAAGGAGAAGGTTCACAAGAAAACACAAAAAACGATCAGGTTTTAGTACATGTTCTTAGGTGTGTCCAAACCCTCAGGAACGATAGGGTTCACAAAAAAACGATAACGTGGGAAGACTGCGCACTACAACACATAAAAGGTTTTGCACGTCGCCCATATGTTTTCAAACACCAGCTGATACATCTGGTGGTACCCTCTCCCAACAGCCTCAAAGTCATCATTGTCATCTGGTGGAATTCTCGCGGCTATATGAGACGTGAGACTATCCAAGGAAAACAAGGCTGTGTCAGGTTAAAATGAAGCACACCAACACACCAACACCCATGACTCATGTGAAGTACACCTCATGACTGATGGCCACAACATGCATTTATCGCGTAGGCGGGAGTCTGTTTAATTGAAATCCTCAAACTAGAAATCAATGATTTTTCTGGTGTTCTCCCACATTCATCCTTTGCTCAGATGTCCGATGGATGATTGAACATATATATATATATAATCCGCCCCTGGCGCCGCTTGACGCGGCTGACGCGGCCCGCAGGTCGCGATGTCATGTGTTCCGCGCAGACGGGCAGCGGCAAGACCGCGGCCTTCCTGGTACTCGGACCGAACGGAGGAAACGACGCGGACCCGAGGAACGGCTGTCGAGACCGGGTGACCGGGCGAGCGGCGGATGACCAGGTCGGACCGGGCGGAGAGTTGGCGGTCGGGCGCTCCAAGGGCCGTTCGGATCCTGCCGGGGGTTGAGAGCCAGGAGGGTCTCGGAGGGTCGCTTCGGAGGAGGTGCATCTTGGAACCCATGGGGAGGACAGCCTGGCTGATAGCCGGGCTAGTCGTCGTTGAGCGTGACCGCTGCAGCGGTGTTGGAGGCCCAACCGGACTCAGAGGCAACGTATGGCTTAGGGCTCCAACCACATCCTAAGAAGGTAGTTATGTACCCCAACCACCTTCTCAGGTGGTGAGGGTATAATCGTTGATATCTGCTGATCTCCAATGCTTCAGGGTTGTTCATGGATCGAATGGAGTATAGATATGTTTCCTTCTATGTTATGAATGGTTTAGGTGTTGGTCGTGTTCAGCTTATTTTTACAATAGTCTTGTCATACCACTATGTGCTGTTCAATTTTCCCATGCAGCTGCATTGTTGTCCAATTTTTCAGTATACCTGATGAATTCATGTTGGGAGGGCATCAAGACGATTAAAGACCCATCAAATATACAGGACATCCTGAGATGAACAGCTCTGGTGTTTACCGGAGGCCAGCAGTTTGAGCGCTGCCAACTCAAAAATTGGTTTTGGCCCTGTCAACACAGTCACAAGAGATGAGGGAGCTTATTGTTTCTTTCTCCTTTCCGACCAATCTGGTGGATGTTCATGAGATCCGCTCGACCATGAAGAGAAACCGTTTACTACTCCACCTACGATTACTCGGCGCAAGGTACCACATTCTTTGAAGCCTGTTGCTTTCTCGTGCTTTCCTGCCTTTGTCCACCTCAAACATCAACATTAACTCCCTGGAAGTCGGAAGATCCACCCCCCCGGCCCAAGCCCTCGACCTCCCCGCTCTCACGCCCAGAACCCTCCACAAGCGTTTGGCTCGGGCCGGGTGCCGCTCGGCGTCCGCTCCGCGCGGCTCGCCCAGATTCCCATGCTCGCGAGCATGATCAAGAACCACCATGCCATCGGAGATCTGGAGCCGTCAGACCGACCGTCACGAGCTTTGGGCCGATTTGTCTTTTTCTAACGAATTTGGGACTCCTTCTGACTGATCTGGCACTCCGGGCAGTAGGGCTTTGGGGTCTTGGTCAGCCGTCTGAGACTCTCTGAGACAATCGTGCATCCTTGATCTGCTTCAACCTCCCACGCATCTGGAGTCCATTCCATGTTAACTATAAGAGGTCCTTGGAAACCCTGTAAAGTAGAGCAGGGAGACTCATGAAGCAATAGGTTCGAGATGGTCGCATTTGGTCACATATCATAAGACGCACTGCACCACTTGTGTGTAATCGATACATGTGTTCAGATATGTTCACACTTGGAGACCCTTTTCAAGGAGATCCTTAAACACAAACCCCTGAGACAGAATCCAGGAGGTCAACCCTTCCCATTGGGTTGGAGCAGAGGTATGAGCCAAAGACATAGACGAGCCATTGATTATGTTTAAATTGGTTGCTTTTTGCTATTGTTCTAGAAACGGTGCCATCTACTAGCGTGAGGATACAATATGGAACAAAGAGAAGGGAGAGATACAGAGAGAGAGAGAGGGTGAGAGGGGGAGAGGGAGAGGGAGAGGGAGAGGTGGGGGGAAGCAACCAACAAAAAAGAGAAAGGGCACTGCCAGTAGCAGAGAAAAGAAAAAGAACAAAGAGAGAAGAAAAAAAAGAAAAGAGAGAAGAGGGAAGAGAGAGGAAGGGAGAGAATCAAGAAAGAAGAGAGGGGGAGGGAAAGAACAAGGCATGGACAGCAGAAAAGGAAGGGCTTGTGGAAAGCAGGGAAGGGAGAAAGGGAGAAAAGAGAGGAGACTGAGAGGGGACAGGGCGCGACTGCCACTTTGTGTACAGTAGGTTGCGCAAAATGGAAGTCAGAGGTGGGGGGAGGGAAAGGAGGAGAGGGGAGAGCAGGTATAGGGAAACGGCGAGAGGGGATTGGGCAGGACTGACAGCTGCAGAGTAGATGGCGCAGCCTGATGATCAGCCAGGGCATGGGCAGCAGAAAAGGAAGGACTTGTAGAAAGGACATCCTGCGCCATCTACAAAGCTGCGACGGTGTTTCTCGTGCGCCATCTGCTAAGGCCTAGCTACAGGCAATTTTCTTAACCTAAACTTCACTCCTGCGCCATCTACAAAGCTGCGATTGGCCACTTTTTTGGGATCCAGGGCAGGGGGCGATAGCCCTATGTTCAAGATCCAGGGGGCACAAATAGATGGCGCGCTTATGTCAAGCAAAATGACATCAACTCAACGCCATGTTGTTTGCAGTTAGAGTAATATACACGCTAAATCAAGCTTTGGACTCACAGAAATCACTTGAGCCGCACGCCCAAGCGGCTCAAGTCAAGACATTCACAGACAGGCTGGGCTGTACCTTGTGTGTTTTCTTGCCAAAGATCCTGGATCAAACAGATGGCACATTCATGCACGTAAATACCCTTTGCGCAAAGCATAGCTTTGACAAGCCTATATGGATGTCATGCCACTGTGAAATTTGGCCAGAGGGTTTCATCCTGGAGTATGTCTTGTGAATCACGTGGGATTGAACATGAAAGAACACAGCAAGGTCAAGGCACCACCTCCCCAGAAACATGTGTACCCTGCACACAATGTACGGGTGCAGTGAGGTGATTTGTGCCGTATGCTAAGTGGTGGAAGAGGGTTGTAAGCTACAACCTGTTATAGCTTATACAGTAACATCTGAAAAACCCAATGAACATGGATATCCGTTAAGGGACGTTAGCTATCATTGGAGGCTCAGACTCAGTCGGACCAATGAAATCGGACAATCCCACGATCCAGACGGTGCCGTTTCACAAGGGGTGTTTGGTGGATGGTACACGTCCTGAAGTACGTATGTTCAATTGTTTCATGTTCAGCTCTATTTGCAAGTGAAGAATTTAAGGCAACTTGCAATCCCCTAGGGCTCCTGGCCGCCCCCTCCGTTTCGGTTCGGTGCTTGGGGTGGGTGCTCTTGGGGTGCTCTTGCGCCCGAGCCCGAACCGGAGGAGACGCCCTTCACTGGTCCGTGCAAACCCGACACACTCATCTTCTCGCCCACCAGAGAGCTTTGCCACTGGGGAGGATGGAGAGAACGTGCGGGGGTCCGTGCGGGGAGAACAGCGGGTCGCTGCGGGGGTTGTTTGGGGGTTTGGGGGACCTGGGACGTGTAGTTGTCTTTCTTTGGACGGAGTCGGAGATGTTTGGCAAGGGGGGGCAGAAGAAGCTCAGGAGCTACAGTCGTTTGATAATTTTTGTTTGATGGCAAGGGACACCATGGAAGTCTTAGACAGATGGGGGACCTGGCATAAACCTTCAAACTTGGGGGTCCCTGTGCCATCTACTCTCAATAACTTATTCTTCTTTGTGATTGGGACCTTCTGCCGAGTGAAGTGGGAGCTTTCCTCAGCTTGAGACATGCATGTGGGACGATTCAGTATATATGCATTAATTTATATACTTGAAGAACCCTAAAGTTTACGCTTCTTACTCTGTTCCAACATGACACTTGCAGTCTGCAGCGGATCGGATTGACACATTTTGCCTGGCAGGTACAGCACGGTCAGATTTCCACACCCGTTTAAATGTATAATACTTATAAGGCTTTCAGGTGTGGAAATCTGACCGCAACTTAGGTGTCGACATGTTGCACGTAGGATTCTAAGGGGAAAGGGTTTGTCCCGTTTTAGAAGTCAAGAAGCGCAACTTTCGGCACCCCAGTGTAATTTAGGATTGTTTCAAAATGATCAGTTCATAGTAAATAGCAGTGTAATATTGTAATATGGCGTAAATCCGTTCGATGGTAAGGATCAGGAACACCTCCCCTTACCCCGAAAAAACAGTGGATCACCCACAAAATGTGTTCTTGGGGATGAATTTCTCCACTATTTTTGTGAAGACCTCTTCTCAGCCAAGTGTTGCACCTCCTGACTGTGTTCCTGAAGGACCCCTTCTCATAGTGGTGTGTATTCTAAGAGGGAGACCCCTCTGAGAGTCGAACTGGGAGGCCTCCCTATGTTCAGATACAGATACCCCTTTCCATATTGTCTCTTATAAGGCAAATCATGTTTGGGGGGGGACAAGGGGTCAATTGATGCTTCATTTTTGGGTTGCCCAGATAGTGAGTTCGACCTACGTTACCCGTTAGTCCCCCCTTCTGGAATTCAGAGTCACACCTTCCTTCCGACTGCGGAACAGTTTGGACCAACGATGTGGGCAGACGACCTGTCCCACCGTTCGGGGGTTCCGACGATCGACCCGGTCGATCGAACAACGAGGTCGAAGCCGATGGGCAGGTGACGTCGAAGAACTAAGTCGTCCTGGGGACCAACAAGTGACGGTGATGGTGTAAGTTCCCGAACTGGGTAAATCCATGTAAATCCCGGTGAATGTACCAGCACCTTCCAACAGGTCTCCGAAATGGAGGGTTGTTAGGCCCTAACAGGTTTCAATTGGTGACCTGTTGGAGGTGCTGGTATGTGTTTTGTTAATTCCATGCTTCTTTGAGCAAATCCAAGCACGACAAGTCAAGGTATCCAGACCTACGAGGATGCCTTGAGATTTTGCTATCAGACCTCGCACAGATGTGCCTTGGCAGCTGCGCTCCGTTGGACTCCGCGTTTTTTACTGGTGTTTTGATGGCCGAGACGTCTCTGAGAGTGGGCCATTTCCCAGGCACTCCATGGGACTGCCATAGGACTGCCGCCCCAGACAGACCCCCCTGGCACCACCCCTGGCCGTTTCTCGGCAGTCCGGACTGGCAGTCCCAGACAGGTCGTGTCTGGGTTTGGAACACATGTTCTTAGCATTTCGTTGTAACGAAGTCAGACTCCTGCGGTGGATTGAAACTCCGCATGTCTCACACATCGAGCGCGAAACGAAACGAGGCTTTGTGGAGGTGAAACTGTGTCTTTCGTGCAAGAGCTTTGGTCAGAACCACCAATCTATAAAATAGTACAACATACAGTGCAGTTTGTTCAACAGCGGCTCTAGAGCTACAGAAGAAATCCAGATCCCAACCTTTGACATTCGTGTGCGCCAGTGCCCACCATAGAATCCTCCAAAGCGGGGGTCGACCGCGGTTCTAAATCTTCAGCTTCCTCTTGAGCCCGTCCCGCCCCAGCTGATTTTGGAAGCACAAACTCCCCCAAAAGCCGGCTGATTTGGGTGACGCAGAACCTCCCTGCAATAAGAACTTCCCAAATCACTTCGACTGCGACTGCCCCCCCAACCAAAACGTCGGTGCGACTGGGTCCCTGCTGTCCCTCAGGTACGCGCGTGTATGGCCAAGAGAGCGCCAAGCGCCAGATCGCCGAGCTGGCCAAAGGCGGGGCGGTGCGTGAGACCGAAGCCCTGTCCTGCGCGGTTCGGCGTCAGCCAGAGGAGAAGTCATTCTTATTTGACAACCCAGTAGACATATATATATATATACAGATCATGGGTAGAGGAGTTGTCCTCACCAGTCTGCATCATGCTTGATTGAAGACAAGTCACATGCCTGAAAGCACATGGCCCATGGCGATAGACACTATTGATAATGATCCTCGTGAACGCATACGCGGGTCTCAGACCTCGGAAGTCGCGCAAGAACGTCAACAAAAAAGCTATTTGACTGGTCTGACGTGTTTAGCAGGGAAGTATAGACTCCAACCCCAAATATATTTATATATATAGATCTCCAATAAAGAGGGAATAGACTCCCAAGATCTCCAATAGAGACTCCAAAGATCTCCCAGTTGGGATCCAGCCACTTGAAGGAATCCTTGCAGGTGGCACCAGTGAGTTCAACAAGCGCCAACACCCCAAAAAGCCTTTCAACTCTTACTGTGTGGTTGTATCCCAATGTGACTTGGAACTTGGATACATTATGAATCATTATGATACAGCACATTGGTGGTATCATCAACTGGCTGAAACCAAATCAAAGTGCGTAGATGCTTGACGGTTTAGTCTATAGCCAGCGACCCCCGATGTTTCATCAGAGTCGGCCTCTTTGAAATGCCAGCAGATGTTGTTCATTCACTTAATATGACACCCAGACACTCCATGGGACGGGTATGGCAGTCCCATGGAGTGTTTGGGACATATGACTGACCTTGTGGTTTGCGATCGAGAGATCTAAACCCCACAGAGTGTCGGATGCAGGTCTCGACCTTGAACGTGAGGACCTCGAAGGTGTATGACTTGTATAGGCAATGGTGAATTCTGAATTCAAGTTTTGTGCAAGGAGCCTCAAGAAAATGGGTTCCTAGTTTGACGTCAGGTTGTTGATTCTGTACTACGGCTACGGCGCCTGAAAACAATTGAAAACATGTTGTTACTGGGCCTGGAATGCTCTTTCAGCCAAGACTTTCCGGCAAAACCAATTTTTTACGAGAAGTGTGTTTGGTCTTCCTAGTTCCGCACCATCCGCGCGCGTGCCTATGAAAACACCCTGTCGTCCCCCGCATAAGAAAGACAGGCCCCCGGCGGGGCACATCGGAGCTCCCGTTCGAAAGGTGCCGATCTCATTGTCGCGACCGTGGGGCGACTCTACGACTTCGTAAAAGCTGGGATCATCAACGTGGAGGCCCGGAGTGAGATGAGAGGGGTTCACCGAGTCACAAGAAGTGACAACGGTCTTTGCAAACCAAGTGTTTGACCTGTTCGATTTCTGTCGGACACTGTCGGATATGTTGTGAATTACTGTAATTTGTTAACAACGTGTATCAATGTGTGGGTTTGTGATGGTTTGTGCTTTCTTGATATATAATATAGGACGGAATCAAACTGTTTGAAATATCATGTCACATCAATCAACCAGCACAGTAGGAAGGTGCATCCATTTAGTGTAACTGGACAAAAAAACAAGTCCTTCAGACATGTTACCTTCATTGACACTGGTTGAGACTAATATTTCCCAGCCGTCGAGGATGCGCGTCCTTCTGTAGCGCGTATAACCGTATATATATTAGTCAATGCCAGCATGCACATGTTAAGACCGTTTTCTTTGCATGGACACGTTAATCACACTGACACACAAAAACTTCGGGAAATCGCTGGTCATTGTACAAAAGTTCCTCGTGTATCCTTGAACTACTTTGCGTTTGTTTGCGTTATTTGTATAGGCAGATTCCAGGGGACTTAACTTGAACCAACCATGGGCACCTGGCAAGCAAAATCATTACAGTATTTTTTCACAGATCTCAGTCAATCTGCGGTGTCAGCCCCAGTCTTGTGCTTTTGCGGTTCACCAAAAAAGCGCACCTTCCTGGAGAGCTAGATAGATGCAAAGACCTCCCAGACCTCGCCCACGAAAGTGCTCGAAACTAAACGAGAACAGGTAGAGAGTCCAACAGCCAAATGGATTGCCCTTCTTCCTAACACTCCAGATGTCTCTTCCCTTCCCTTTCGCTACTAGCAAGAAGCTACGAACCTAGCTCCAGACGTTGTCTCTTCCCTCTCAGACGGAAAACCGCAACACCCGCCACTGAGCCCCACGAGCCTCACGAGCCCGGGTCGGCCCTGTTGGAACGCCGGCGTTCCACCACAGCACCGGCGGCGACAGGAAGTGAACTGCTTGGTGCTCGATGAGGCCGATCGCATGCTGGACATGGGCTTCGAGGTGTGGAGCCGGACCCACACGCCGGCCGTTTCGGATTGGCGATCCGGAGACCCCCACGAGATGCCCACGAGAAGCGGCGGGCGGAATGGGAGCCAAATGACACAACTGCATGATGTGCACGTGTAAAGATGTGCATAAAGTAAAACGGTTTTGGGACCATGCAGCAGAGGAATACACCCTCAGGCAATGAACCTTTGAACAAGGATTTTCCTCTACAACCCAGCCAGTGCTTTTCAGGTTCGTGCATCTTCCAGGGAGGATGTACATGTCATGATGGTCACTTGACCATCGTTTCATCACAGATCGCTAGCACTTCCGGTGTGCGAGTCTTGGAGTCTAACGGGCGACCTGGGAGGTTTCCACGGATGTTTCTCCGTCCTTGAAGCCCGTGGGAGATGTTGCGGATGGATGCGGATGGGCTTGGAGGCTTGAATGATGATTGAACATTTTGAGGAGCTGGAACCAGCATTCATTTGGGACACTACCTTCATACATGCACTGATGTGGGAGATGCTTCCGAAACACACTTGGGACTGTCACACAGGATGGCTTAGACCTCACCATGCTCGACACTGATGTCCTTCAGAGCCGGCAGTCACGAGCACTGCCCACCTCCGCAGTCACACAGGATGGCTTAGGTATTAGTGGGTTCACAGCACCTTGTCATCTTGTAGGACATGTTCTGACCGTGCCTCCTAGAGACTTCTGTTTTCCTTCATGGGTTATCATTGCTTCGGTCGACCAATCTGAGAGTGGTTGACCAATCCTAGAGTAAAAAAACATATAGACACAGACTTTGAGGCAAAATTGTTTTGTCATATCCAAATAGACTTCTATAGGCTTTATCCTACATGATAGATTCTGGACAAAGTCCCAGTTATGAACCAACCTTGATGTCAGCATGGACCTTTGACTTGGGAGTTTCCGGGCCTGTTCCGCTTGTTGCATTCTTTGGTCAATTGTGGTGCTTTGGGAAGCTGTGTGCTATGAGGGTCAGCTACAGGATATATAACTCTTTGCTCCAAACAATTGCCCCACTCCAAACAAACAGTGCTATATATATAATGCAATTTGCAATTGCTTTGCCGCGAGCCCTGAAGAAGCGGCAACCCTTCCATGGTGGATTTCAACATCCTGCCAGTATGATAAGCAAAGAAGGATGGTCAGATAAATCCTGTTCATCCGTTCCAAACTCAGATCTCATTAAAACAAGATGCAGTCGAAACCATATGGATCCATACTAGGATACTAGTGTTAAGTCAACTCAGCTCGTGTGAAGTCGACTCGAAACCGTGTGCCCTTGGCAGAACTGCACTCCACAGGGATGTCTAAGCATAGATTGTATTGATCTATAACACTTGTTTTCATAATGGGTGACCCCAATCAATGGAATTTGGTGTATTTTCTCGTCTTCCATGGTGTCGAACTGGGAGGTCTCCCTATTTGAGCTTCACACCCACATGGTGGAAAGCTTTCATTTGCCCCTGAACCACTCGCTGTTTCGAAGACCACCAACTCCCATCGGCAGGTGCAGATCAAAGAGATTGCCTTTTGGAGAGCGGTTTAGGAAGAGGGAAGCGCCGAGAAAGGGCTGGTTCTGAGACAGTTCTGCAACGGCTAGGCGGTCCAGATTGTGTTGGTGAGATGGATATTTTGCTCTGTTGAGGAATAACGTATGTATACAATTGTATACATGGGCATGTGTTTCTAGTGTTGTTTTTGCAAGCACGTATCCAGGTGGCACAGGACATTGTCCATGGAGGCTTTTGCTTAAACACACCTGTGACAAACCTGTGACACCTGTGATGATCACCTGTGGGGAAGCCTGTCAGTTTCATGATCAGCTGTTGGGAGCGCACCTTCGATTTTCAAGAGCGGACCTTCTTATTGCGGACGGCCGAGTGGCGAGTGATGGCGACCCAAGTGGTATCGGAGCAGTGCCGAAACAACTGTTTTTGTTGCAAAGGAAGCAGTGACAAAGGAATACAAAGGAACACATATTTGGTTTGACTTCAGATTGAGTCACAGAGCCGCTCATTGGCATGTAACCGCTACTGCGTGAACATCCGATTTCTTGTAGCATCCTGTTGTCCATTTCCCTTGTTCAACCCCAAAGGTCTTCCACCAATGAGTCGTTTTTCACACATGGATGTGGGTTTTTGATGGTCTTTGACACCTGTTGGTGAACAAGCCGAAATCAACAGAATATGATAGGGGTCTTCTGCCTCATGAGGATTTCGTGAGGCTCAAGCTGCGCAGCTTCATTTTCAGCTGCGGCAGACAAATCACTCGCTAGCTCAGGTGGAAGACCACAACATGCCGGGCCACTCTCACTCAAACATTGGGCGCTTGGAGAGGGAACCATTAAGGCTGGTCACTTTAGCCAGGATCAGCAATTTGTGAGTTACAGTGCTACGTTCTTGTTCTGGAAAAGAACGCGAGAGGCTTTTCTTTGTATATGTAGAGAGAGAGAGAGAGACGTCCGTCCAGATCGCCAGATCGCCCTAATTCGCCCTAGTGGACCCGCCTTTTTCATCCACTGAGCTTCTTGCGTCCTGAGGCGGTGGTGTCTCAGACAGATTGGAACATCATTAGGGGCCATACCTTGGAATGTCCACAAATCACAAGCAAGAACAACGTGAAGGACAAAGTCTGGATTTTTTTCGCAGACACGGTTTTGACAAGTCAGAACAGCACCAGCAAGTTGCCAGCCAGACAGCAAGATGTGAACATCACAATTGGAGTGGTCTTATTATCAACAGTCTACATCAATCTAACATTTTCCCAACAATGGATGTTCATGTCTTACAAGAACTCGTCCATCGTCGCCGTGTGCACCCACCGTCGGTAAATCTTCACATTGCATTCAATTTAGACAAATTTAGTCAAGTTCACTTCACATCAAGCTGCTGAGCTTGTCCAACAGATATCCTGCCACCAAACGTCCAATTGATAGTTGATGTTACTGTTACTAATGTTTGTCGTTTGCCGTGGATCAAGGAAAAGATTCGCGCCAGACGATGATGTTCTCGGCCACCTTTCCAGAAGAGACGCTTGTCTTTTTGATCGACTGACCTGGGGGAATGGTGGTGTTCTAGTGGGAGTGTGGCTGGTGAATGGGCCTCAAGGCAGTTTTTTCAACTTCTTGGTTTTGCCGGACCTCACGCATCATTCTGGGGTAAACATGAACATGTATGGGATCGGAAGCATTTGTCACTTGGATGTGCATGACATTCATCGACTAGTTCACAGATGCGGAAAAAAACAAGGGTTCCATCTAGATCAAGACCACAGGCCTCAGGAGGCCATCGAATTCCATCAGGTAGAGTTTTTCGGTCGGGACAGATCGCACCACAGGGCGTGTTAGTCCAACACGAGTGGACCTGTCGCTTGGCATGTTTGGACAAAAAAAGGCAGCACATCCGGGACATGACATGAGGTGGATGACAATGCATGCCAGCAGTTTCAGTTTGTTGATATATATATATATATATACTTATACACATAACATTCATATCTCCAACCGCCGTTGGAAGGAATTTCCGATATTGATATGGCTGCAGTAGACCCTTGTCTTAAATGTGAAGCAGCTACTAGGCTCGAGACAGATCGAGTCTTTCCTGGTGAGTCCACCTACGCAGCAGTGGTTTTTCCCGGTATCCCTGCAGACCTTGTGATTGGGTTGGGAAAATTGGACTGAATGTTCACTGGAAAGAGGTGATGATTCAAAGGATGCCAAGTGTGTCCGGGCCCGGGTCCTCACTATGTGTATCTATGTGTATAGATGTTTTGTTTCACCTCCGGATTGCATTTGCCAAGGGTGCAGAATGCGGCACAAAGCTATTTGCACGATCACCTGATGGTGGTCGTGGGCTGCTGGGCAGCAGGTTGTTGCAGCTTTGCTGCTCCTTGCGGACTCCTGGCCACACTCGCTTTGATAGCATGGTAGCACAGAACCATGAAGGATCACTCATTTCAACAGCAAGATGAGGCTCCAGACTCCTTTTGGCAATGTCAAACATGTCGAGGGTTGTGGGGATCAGTTCTAGGCAAACATGTCCTCCATCCATGTCCTGTAGGTTTTACATGGTTTTACCATGTTTTATATACGCAGAAGAAGGTTAGAGATGAACAATTGCGGAAACAGGTCAAAGGATTGAAGGCCCTCACCAGTGGAAAGACAAGTGTTTGGATTGAAGCCACGCCGCCACGCCCAGGCAAAAAAGGAAGTCCTGCAGTCACAGTCGCGCAAATGGTGGAGAAGGTGGAAAAGGACTGCCGACTGCCGCGACCCTTCGCCAATGGGCGACACGGCGACACTGGCAGCCTGAAAGATAGGGGAACCAAATGAAGCATCCACTAGAATCGCTAAGAGTTCACAGCACGTGTTTGCACTCGCTGAATCGATTTGACACCACGAATCATGTAAATGCATGCAATGCAGTTTTATGAAAACTGCCAGCTCAGGGGTTGGCTTGCGTTGTTGGACATTTTGTTGGAGCCGCTGGGTTGGCTTTGATGGCTTGACAAGGCAGCAGGCAGCGCTCCCAAGAGTCTTCAGTTCGTCTTCAGATACATTGGAAGGGTGTTGCAGCGGCACACACACCTCCATTGTGGTGCCTAAGCTTCACTTCCTGGAGCATTGGAAAGTGGGCATCACTTGTTTGTAGAGGAACTGGGATGTTTGCAAGTGGTTTGTCGACATGCATGATTCATTGGCAGTCCAAGTCACATAGGCTCTCCATACCTAGGTATTGCCATGTCCAACCACTTCCAGTCACCATTTTCAATTCCCCAAGAGCCTTCTGCCGTGGGGGGGGGGCTCACCCCCCATCAGTCTCTTATTTGTTTGCTGGTTGCTCCTCAGCAGGCTTCTCTTGCATTTTGTCTCCTCAAACACTAGGTAATCTCATTGGTCCAGGCGTGCGTTCTGCTCAATTGAGATCAGCCAATGCTAGCCTTTGGCCTCACAACTCCGTATAATCACACACACAATGTGGCTGCAAGTGAGTGGTCTTCTAGGTTACAAGCTTCTTGTGTTTGGCTGTTCTTTCTGGCTACGTCTTGCCATGACATAGTGTTACAACACTATTCACTGCACACAGACTTGGTGAGAGCCAAAACAATATATATATATATATAAGCAACATCTTGCCCAAGGCCAAAGGGAAGCCGAGCAAGGCTATGACACTTGGTTCTGGGTAGAGCCAAAGAAGGCTAGATTGTGACCAACATTCAAACAATGCAGCCAAAGAAGGCCACTGTGCAACCATCCGGATGGCCTGCTTCCCTGCCACTGCACAGTGATGGGGGTGCCATGTCACTGAATTTCCAAAGTTCTGTCACCATGCGCATGGTTCTTGGAGGCTTTCGTCTTCCTCCTAGCTGGTGTAATTACTGGTCCAACATCATCATCGTTCCTGAGCTCCACCAACTCAGCCAAACCAGATGATGCTGGAAGGGATGCCTTCTTTTCCTTTACTTACAGCACATATCACATGTCAAGCTCACAATGACAGCAGAAGCACTTGACTTTCCAAACTGCTTGCCTTCACCATGCTGCAAGGCGACTCTATGTATAATCTGGACAGGCCCCATGGAGCAGACACATGAAAGGTTACAATGTCAACTTTGAGCCGAACTCACACCGCTCTCAAAATCCATCAAAGTTGAAATAGCCAAGAAAAGGCTACTTAAATTGTGTATGCTTCGCTTTGTGCAAGCCGATGGTTGGCGCACTCAAGCCAATGGAAGGCTTTACTCAGAAAACCAGCAGCATGTTGCTTTTGCCTTTCTCAAAGGATTGAGCTTTGTTGCTTCAAGCAAGTTATGTCCCTAAGATTGATCTCTCTTCTTAACAATTGGCTCTTTGGCCGGCCTCCTCCTCCTCCTCCTCCTCACACACACACACACACGGACCCATCTCGAAGGCCATGAGCTGGATACTTGCTTCAACTTGGTCACTTGTGGCAAGCACAGGAACCTTGGTGCCATGTTTTGTTTCCACATCGATCTGCAAGACCTTGGTGCACTCAGAAATCCTCTGACCTCTGAGTTGAACTCTCTTCACCTGGTACGAAACTTGCCACTATGTGATCTCTTCCTTGCTTGGCCTGCGCACAAACATTGCATGGCTCTCACTGGTGCTTAAACCAAGATAACACAGGCCTTCAAAGTCTTTGTTGACGTACCTCAGACATGAAACAACCAAAACTGTCTACATCCCAAAAATCAAAGCCACGTCAAAAGTAAATTAGTCATGGTTGGAGGATTTGTCTGAGGATTCTGCAACAAAGCCAGCTTGGACATGCTGGCTTGGCTTTGGTCAAGCTGACAAGTCTGCCACAAATTTGAGATCTGAGCTGCTACTGTTTCAAAGGGGTTTTCTCTGTCACTTTTTCAAAGGACATGCAAAATTGCCGCTTTGCAAAGCTGGCCAGCCTTTGGACAAAGAAAACCTCCAAGTTCTTTCTCCTTGTTGCTAAAAGATTCAGCCTTTGACAATCAGATTTGGTAATCAATTTCTAGAGATCAAGGCGGCTGCAAGCAATGATGCCTTGCCCAAGGGATATACTTTCTCTGCTTTTCCGAAGTCAATATGACTGATTTGCGTCCACACTTCCTGCCCAACCAACAATGCCTCGGTCAATGTACATTCATTCACAAAAGCCAGCCGTAAAGCTATGGCCTATGGGTGTGGCGCTTCTTACCAACAAAAACATCTAAAAGGTCAAATGCAGCTCAAGATGCTGAAACCATGTAGCCAAAAGATCAGTGGGAAGGCGCCCACCACAGTACTTGCTCATGAAATTTTCGACATCCTCTATGTGTTCTTTGCACCTTGGCTCTCCACTTCTGATGAAGCTCAAGGCTCCAGTTTGGCCCCAGATATGTATACGTATAAGCTACCATGGCCTCACATCCGTTCGCGACATTAGCGCCCAAGGCGAGATAGTCGCTACCCGCACTACAGGTTGACGGATGAATGCATTTATATAGTACTTGTATGTACTTGTAGTTTGCATGGCCGTTGGACCGTCAGACTGTTTGAAAAGTACATCGTAAGGGAGTCTCTATTATGACGCTTCATTTGGTTTGTTGATGTTTCGTGTGGGCGTCCTGTTCATGCACTGCATGCAGTGCATGCAGTGCTTTTTTCCGCGTTTCTTTTTTGAAAGCCTTTTCCCGGAAAGATGATGGGAGGCTCACTCACCATTGGAGGACCAGAAGAAGGAAAGATTGATCGAATACCTCGACTCGCTCTTTCACAAAGATAGGACCGCTATGAAGCGCGCGCGACGGACCGCGACGGACTCCCCATCAAAACGGATGGACGCCGAATCGATTTGGTGTGTGTGTGTGTGTTCGACGTATACATGGCCATTCTGGCCAAACAATGCCAAGAAGCAATGTTTCACACTTTCTAAGTCACCATTGATCCGATCGAAGGGCCTTATTGGGGGTAAAACTGATATGCCCTCCCTGAGACAAACATAAACAGTATGGGATTCCGCCCACCTTGGTCTGTCAACCTAAAGTCATCGAATGATTCAACGATTGCATCCAATGCGCACCTCGTTCTTTTTATTGCATGAAACTGGCACACGGAGATCCACTCAAAGGCAATTGCAGCAGAATGAACATAGATTCGATAGATTGATGTTACTTTTCTTGAGACCGTTTTGGAACTAACATAGACCGATGGAACCAACACAGCTGGCACAAAAAAGTATTAAACAACATATATAATACTATATAATACTGTGTTTAACTTTTGGTAGAGAGCATCCAAAGCACTTTTACGGAGTGTTTGGGAGACGATTTGAGCTTTGTTCGTTCCCCAAAAAGGGCTTCCAAAACTCGATCCACGGGTGCACGAGTGTACTAGGCCCATTCGCGGCGGTGTAGGCGGGAAAATCTGGTGTTTGGAGCATGTTCGTTTGGAGCATGGGCTGGAAATGGCCCATATCGCGTGCTTTGAAACCATGGGCGGAGGTGGTTGGACCAAATGGCGCGTCGGTGTCCGAAGAGATGTTTTCCCTTATTGTCTCATCGCGATGTGGCCATGCAGTAACCACCGCGTTCTGGTGTTCACCAACAGCAAGAAGACAGCCAGGGCCCTCGGCCGGGATGGGCTTAGACCACAGGTAGAGATTGGTGACAAGATGACAAGCAGGACCATTTGTATTGGATTCCTCGTGCCTTAAACACGAACATGTTATGACCCAATGCGTGACGCGACCCTACTCAGTTGTGTGCTCAACCTGATCTGAACCTTTCCTTTGATAACTCCATGTTGTGATTAAGGCCTTTTCATTGTTAGCAGTCCCCGGCACTTTCTAAAACATGGTGAAGGGTCTTGATAAAAGGGGTTTTACAAGGGGGCAAATTGTTTGTTCGTGTGTTTTGTTTACGGGGCATTCCAGGATCTTGACGGCACGGAATTTCCTTTGTTGTGTAATCATGCATGAACACGGCGGCTCTAAGTGAGAATGAAGAACATGGCATCCGGGTGGTAATGATCGAGATGCAATGAGAAGAACATGGCATCCTGGTTCTTTCAATGGTCGTAACTTAGAACTTCAGGAGTGTCCACCACCCAGGATTTCTTTGCTCCAAATCTCACCCATTTCAGATGTGCTGAGAGCTGCGCAAAAACAGAGATGGTGTCATGCAAAGAATGTCGCTGTTGGTCGAGATTTGGTGGCGGTTGGGGAGTCGAAGAAAAAGAAACCCAACAACCATACAACCTCAGAGGTCCCAGGGGACTGGGGGTCCCCTGGGCCAGAAGCACCTGTCCCTGTTGGAGTCTGAGTTACGCCGTGGGTGAAAATGGATGAACATGCTGGGAGTACAGTGGGTCTTGTTGGTCAGCAACTTTGGACTGGTAGTTTGTCTCGAGGACTTGGATCAAACCAAAATGCAACAAAATATACACAACTATGACTACAACTATACTGTATATAAATCATGTATATATATATATAACTAAAACATGAAAACAAGATACTGTGTATATATCTGATATATAAATAATATATACATATATATATATAGAAGTATATAGCTTTCTACTATTTTTTTTTTCAGCTGTATGGGGTGACTTTGGACTTCAAGGCGTTCAGACCTCGCAGAATCCGGCCCAGGCCATGTATCTGGATGAACAGCTCTGGGCCCCTTGGAACGAAGTGTGGAAGGGTCCCGCTTCGGGTGCCGGTGCCATCTACTGACCTGCATGACCTATAGCTGAGTACTTCAAAGAGCGACGTGTCACTCCAAATAGTGTCAAGATTACTGAGTGTTTCAAGACTACTTTCAAATAGTTTGCAGGGAATAGACATTTTGTGTGGCTTCTGCACCAACAAAGCTGGCAATGCACGGCGAGGGTATCAGTTCTGGACGCAAAACTGACGTACCTGCTTGATCTCGGGTGATAACACAGTTTACTGTTGTTCTCGGCCCTTTATAAGGTCTGTCACAGGTCTCAGGTCGTTTCTGCATGAACGTGCTAGTGCATTCGTCCAGTCGACTTCTGATTTGTGCTTTTGCTATCTAAGTGATTCCCCGCATTGTCCCACTGTGGTGTGCTGTGGGCTGTGGGAACCCAATTTTGGGTCTCTGAACTCATGGACCGCAATGGTGATTTTATGTGATTTTAATTGAATTACTTTTTGCGCTGAGAGCCTTCACTTGAGAAAGCTGCATATAAGCCGCAGTGCCTACTGGAAACATTCATTTAAGCTGTCCCGTCCAGGCGCATTCATTCCCAACTGCTTAAGCCGATGCAACCACTTCAGTCACTTTTCAGTCACTGTTCTTCCTTCCCGTTGCTGTTGCTGTTTCTTTTCTCTCCTTTCCTCTCTTTGCCCGGAGGCTTGTTACGTGTAAATCAGGTTGCACCAGATTCTCGGGTTCTCGCATGTGTGTTTCCCAACACACAATTCCATATGGAACACACCTAATTTGGCGTATGACCCTCTGGCTCGGAGTCAGTCAATTTTTGTTTTCCTTCCAGTTGCGTTTCTTTGCTTTCCTGCAACACTCCCTGTTTCAAGAAGGATACACAACACTGTACTGTAATTATGTTCAAGTCTTTGCAGGGGGTGGAGACGCCTGTATTGCTTCTCCGCATTTCACCAACGAAGCTGGCAATACACGGTGAGGGTATCAAATCTGGACGCAGCACTGTTATACCTGCTTGTGAAAAAGAGTTTACACCTGTTGTTCTCGGCCCTTTATAAGGGCTGTTTCAGGTTTCAGTTCGTTTCTGCATGAACGTGCTAGTGCACTCCTCGAGTCGACTTCTGATTTGTGCTCTTGCGAACTATCTATCTAAGTGTGCGTGTGTGTGTGTGTGTTGTTTGAAGTTGCCTGTGTGGTTTTGCGTAAACATGTTCAGCAAAGCGCACGAGCAACTGAACAAGGGCGACTGAACTGGTGAATCACAGCTGAACACATGGCATCGTTGGACACGTCGCTGTTTCTTCGTATTTGTTTCCGTGTTGGACAGCCCTGATCAAAGAAAAGCATGATTTAAAAAAACATGGTTGAAGTGTCTCCCACTTTGCACACACAAAAGGTATCAAGTCAATTGCATCCCACTGCGGAGTGTGTTGTTTTGCTTTTGGAATACCCTCCGCCTCCACCAACAAAAATACAGGCCCCCAGTTAAAAACCTTAGATAAATAAGGGTGTCCACAAAATGGGTGTTCTCCGGGTATCCCATTTAGGAACCAAGGTTTCAGTTGCTAGAGTAGGAGTCAGCTAGGGCAAAGAGAAGGTTTTGCAGTCTAGGTGGTGGACAACCAGGGTTGTTTGGGAACCTTAAAAGAACACATGCACAAAAATACTACCTGTGTTGTTGGGATAGAAGTAGTTGAAGAAGGAAGTAACCTTAAAACAAATATATACCGTATCTAGGGGACTCCGGCATGAGATGTTATTTTTACTGACAGTGCAACAAAACACAATATGAACGGGGCTTGCAGGATCCAGAATCAAACTACAGCGAACAGTCTGTGTTGCAATGGACCCTGAAGAGGGGTGTCCTGAGGGTTTGGAATATGTCATGACAGGAACAAAAACGGTGACGTTGTGAACGCTACAGGTCAATGGCACTAAACACTAGGATGAAATGCCAAGAAAACAAGAAAGTGCGAGAATTAAGAATCCAAATTGTCCCTCCATGAGAAACGGTTCACAGCGGGACACGTCAAGCCAAATTTGTGCCATGAGCAGGCATTGGTTGCATTTTTGGAAATTTCATGAGGTTCTGTGAGCCAGAATCTTGTGTTCAAAGCTCGTACCGGATAGTAGGGACTCGGGTCACTCGGGTCAGGTCCTGAGACATGCAATCATCCCAACAAACTTAGGAACCAAAACTCTCAGAGGAAAGTCCGTGTTTTCCGCGATGCGGCATCAGTCCTGTCCCCGGGTTCCGACTCGTTTTTCCATCGTCGATGTCTTGTGTCCAGCCGGGTTCCGACTCGTGTCGAGACACGAAAGACGCGCCGAGAATATGAATGTGGCGAAGACCGCGGCGATCCATGGTGATTTGGACCAAAGCAAGCGCGAGGAGAGCCGCTTGGCGATCCCGCTACGATCCCCAACCAGTGGTGCCAGTGTGGTTCTTGGGGTCATGGACCCTGGCCACCGAGACCAAATGGTTGCAAGCCGCGCCTTTGGTGTTTGGCTTATTGTATACAATTCTTCACCAGGTGTCGTTTCTAGTGTTTGTTGTTTGCTTTCAAAGCCTTGGGGAAGCTGCTTCTGGTCCCTGCAACATATGTCAGAGCTGCTTCTGGTCGTCTTGCACCCTCCACCACTCCAAAAGATCATCACACACCTGGTTCTTCAAAGTGACCCAGACTAAGATCTCCTGGTGGTTTGGTCGCGAAAAGCCGCCAGTGACTCGTGACCCTCCAGTTCGGTCACAAACTGAAGAAGCTGGCACATGGCCTTCATCCATCGAACTGGCTCCTCGGGCTGCTGGTCCAACTATACAATTGGTCGCAGATTCTCGAAGTGCCAATCTCGCCCTGCCAATCAGTGCCGCCCATATTCCCGAGGCCTGACCAAATTCCGGGAAGGCAATGCGCAGGTCTTGATCGCCACAGATCTGGCCTCTCGTGGTCTGGACATCAGCGGAGCCACTGGGACCTGCAGCTCGTTTCCGGCCGCGGACATGGTCGACTGCTTTGTCGGTGGGGGGGCGTTTCAGGGGTGGATCTCGTGCTTCTCCTAATGCATGGCTTTGCATTAATTAGTGGTGAGGATGGGAGGTCAATGCATGTCAATGCATTCACTGAAAAGCTCTGAACTGAGCTCGGAATCCGAGCTTCTTCTCAAGTACTGTATAAGTGTGTGTGTGTGTGTGTGATAGGATGTTGCATGTTTATGTGTGTTCGGTGTTTCGAGACGGGTGGATCCCGGGTTCGTCAGCTGAGACGCGGGAACCCGCCTTCGTGCGAGCGTGATGCCCCAGCGGTGAGATCTGAGAAGCGGAGACCAGTTCTCTCTAATCAACATGCGAAAAAGACCGTAGATGTTCAAAAAAAAAACACCTCAGGTTGAGAAATAACCACTTCTAAGAAGATCAACGTATTACCGTTCATCCAACGATCAACACCACATCCATCTCCATCCATGTCTCGGCCGGTCTGAACCGGTCTGAACCGGTCCACTAACCGGTCCTAGGTGAGCTTCGTGATCAACTACGACGCTCCCAAGGAGATCGCCACCTATGTCCATCGGATCGGCCGCACCGGGCGGATTGGCCACCGGGGCACCGCCATGACCTTCGTCACCATGGAGGCGAAGGAGAAGGGAGTGGTGGTCATCCTGGGTGGATCCTGGGTGACGGAGATATGCTTGGTTGGTGAAAAGCATGGGGTTTCTCACCATGGGTTGTTTCTTGGGTGGTGGATATTGGTTGGTTGGAGACGGAGAACGAATCATGAATGAATTTATATAATGGCTTTGGACATGACCATGCAACACGGAAGTTGCATAATGAGATGGACGTTTGCCAAGACTGGCACCGTTCAGGATGGATGATGGATTCCATAAGTTTTCCAACCAGGCCACAAGACCCACCTGTAGGTGCTTGGAGCCCTAGGGTGTAGAGAGTAGAGACCATGGATTGAACAATTCTGGTGGGAGTTGGACGCCAACATGACTGTGGATCGACCGTCTCATATTGTGTGAGATCTTCGAGGCTATTGGGGTAATCTTCTTGAGTCTTGAGTTTCTTTCCACTAGTGGCCCTGTTTTGGGGTGTGTTCCTAGTTTTTTGGGGTTTGGGAGTATACACACATGGATGGATCCTATAATAGTTGTTGTGTGTTGTTCATGTTCATGTGTTTCAATTCTTCCCACAGCCAACCGCTGAAGAAGTACAGCTAGTAATCTACACGATATTCACCAGTTGAAAAGTATAGGTACACACGACTGCCGACTGCCTGCTTGTCTCATGCCAAGTCGTCGCTCAGGGTTGCTGGTGTCATGACAGCCACTTGGCAGAAGACGCTTCTGTCGAGTACACTCCCTGGAACGGCCCCATGGTGACGTGGATGGCACGACCCCGAGGTTAGGAAGACCATGGTGCCATCCACGAACCAAACAGGTGGTGCCATCCAATTCCATGTTAGGGACCCAGGGAGAGTAATTGTATTTGTAACGTAGTACTGAAGGAGCGAACATCCTGCTGGTGCAGGTGCCTTGTATGTGGCTTAGACGTTATATTATATGTTGCTTTCCGAATGCCAGGGTTTGGCAGGATTCATTGATTTGCCTGGCCGGTCCCTGTTCTGCTTGTAGATGTGATAGATGTTAAGGTAGGGTGTGGCCAATTACCAATAACATCCAGTAACACTGGTGAAAAGATGTTCACCTGTTTTGAGAAGCCCTGTGCAGACCATTTTCCCTTGGTAATGGGGTTCAGTCATGTATAGTCCAATTTGGACACCCAAGGGTCCTGAAGATGTTTTTTTCTACCTGCTACACTCTCTGAAATCATCATGGAAGTCAAACACCACCATTTGTAGGTGATGTTTCCCACAGACGACCCATGGGACTGGCATCTTTACATACATTGACCCCCTTTTCAACCACCCCAATTGATCGGTATCTATGCCAGTCCCATGGAGTGCTTGGCTTTGGAATCCTCCGGAGTTCGGGGCCATGCCACGTTGGCCCATGATGAAGTGTCTCACTCCTTGCCGGACATGGACTCCATGGGAAGAGATTGTTGGTATGGAGGGGTCCTTCCGCAGAAGCGGTGCATGAGAAAGATGAGAAAGGAGAAAGAGTACGGGCCGTGGGCCAATCACCTTCTCCAAGGGTGGATTTGTCCATAGGGTATGTACCTTGACCCGCCTGAAACCAACCTGGGTCTTCCTTCAGTTTTGGAAGTTTATACTAATGATGATGATGCTACAAAAAAAAAGGTCACTTGGTAGCCCTTTGTAGATGAACACAAATGTAAAGCTGAACCAATCTTCGGAATACGAAATCAATGCTCAATACCCAGGGACTGGTTTTTAATGCACGGACCAACTATATATATATATATGTATAAAGACGTGACAAGAACAAAGAATCATGACGTTGATGAACGAGGTTCAATCCAAGAATCCATTTGCAGTCTGCTGTGTTTCTCTTTTTCGGGGAAAGGGAGTTCCACTTCCCCACCGCGTCGCTCAGCCGATGAATTCTTGAGAGAGCTTCCAGCGATGATGGAAAAGGCAGGTCGACTGGGGCCGGAAGCGGTCAACAGATTGGAGAAGCTGTTGGGCAATTCTTGCTCGTGTTCTTGACAGGTTTTGACGCGACGATTTCAACAGTAGTACAAAGCTCAAGGTTGCCACGAGCCTGGTCCTGGTCCAGGGTATGTGAGGGGGTATATGTCCCATCCCTGCGGTGTCCTTGGCGGTTTCGCCTGGGAAGTTGCTTAAACAGTCAGATTGCTTGGATTCTGTCTTCTACTTGTGGGTCTTTGATAACACTCCACACAATAAACTCCGCTGACGTTGGGGGCATCACATTGCAGGCTCCGAATACGGAGATTCCTCCGTGGCTGGCGGAGCTCTCGGAGCAGAAGAACAACGGCCCGGACAGCCCGGACGCGTGCGGGCGGCCTCCGCGCGTGTTTCGCGCGCGAAACAGGTGACGATGAATGTTTGCGAGTGGGTCTGGTGTGACGGTATAGATCGATGGTTTTTCACAAACAAGAAACTCGCAGCACCATCCGCATGGTGAACTCTGGATAACCGGCAAACCCGCGGCCATATCTCTTGACCTAGACGTTGGCGGAATTACGTCGAGTCCTCGGGACTCAACCTGTTAACTCTGGACAATCTTGCATCAATATGCCTCAATATGGGAGTTGATCGAAAACCCCGTGTAAGGAGTTTTATATAAAACAGCCTTTCAGATGTTGTTAGAACCATCCGCGAAGGATTGAGGTTCGCGAAAGTATCTTTTCTTTTCCGCGAAAGATTTATCGAAGGTCATCGCTTTCATTGTTTTCCTTTCTACCGGACTGACAAAGAATAGAAACGCAAGGCAATCCTCCGGCAGAGTGGGCGGAAGTGTCCCCATATGTCACAGACTAACGAACTGAAGCCTCAACATTTCCGTGCCCAGCCCTGGCAGTGCGTAAAGGATTCTCCGGTTCCTGTCCCCACTGTCACAGACTAGCAATCTGGGTAGGCACAGCCCTGACAGTGAGGCAACGACCTGCAGCTGCTCTGACGAGCTGTGCAGATGTTTGCAAATGTTACGGCTTCCCGGGGAAAGCACCAGTGAAATTTTGCGAAAGATCCGCGAAAGTTTCGCGAATGTGCCGCTAAAGTCTAGGTTCCCAGCTTGAGGCCCCCCAACATTCCTCAAGCTGCATCACAGGATTGGGTTGAGTTGCGCCGGACTCCTGAGTAGCTGTGGAAACGTTCAACCATCTACTGCATGGGGTCATGCTGCAAGATGTCTCTCCCTATTTTGTGATACTATGACATGTTCCGGCTCATGTTAGCTAGACATGGTTGTAGGACCATGCTTCGCGATGAGGCCGCGAAAGATCCGCGAAAGATATCTTTTTTTCCGCGATGAATGGCCATTCCAGGATGAAAGAATATTGATCAACCACCATATATTCACCGGGGGGCGGGGGCCGAACTCTTCACCAACAAAGTGATAGGCTGGCCAGTAGGCTAGCCAGTGTCCTAGCTATATTTTAACAACTGCTCGAAGCCCAAAGACTCATTGGAGCCTCATAGCTACGGTTTTTACGGTGTTGGACCTCAAACATTATGCACTGCTCTAGCAGTTTGAGGGTCCATGAGCGTGTGGGTAGGACGTGCTTCCCAAGACCTCAGTGAGGCAATGATCCCTATGATTCCTATGATCGACACCAGCGCAAAAGGGTTTCCATGAAGCGGCTCTCCTGATTCATAATCAATCAGGTTTGGGTCAATGGGACAGCGGGTCAGCAGCTGAATCCATAATTTGCAACAAGTATACAGCCGAAAAGATATCAGAATCCAACACAGGTTGAAGAAACCCTATATAATTAGGCATCCCAGTAGGGTCATAAGGTCACTGAACCTCTCTTGGATGATAGGGAACTTCATTCTCTTGCGGTCACAGGGAAAGCCCAAAGAAAGTGTGTCACTTCCAGCGTCGTTCCCTCCCATACGTCCAAGATCACTCCCCAGCCAGATGGAGCCCCGGTTCCGCCGAAGAAGCTGGTCGCAGCAAAGCAGTCCGAGACATGGAGGGCCTTTTGCTATAGTGTTGGGTTGATTGGGGGATACCGGGCATACCCTCAAGTGAACAACCAAGGTTGGTCTATGGTACCCGATGGTGCATCAACCCCTTGACTTGCTCAAAAGCGTGGACATCACGGCACATCCCGAGATACCTGGTACAGCAAGAAGAACGATTGGCAAACCACGGATGTGCGCTATGAGAAGACGGACAACACGACCTTCGATGGCTGGGACGTGAAGGAGGAGGAAGAGGGGGGTTTCACTTCAGGTGTTTTGCTTTTTTGTGATGTGGAACTTGTGACGGGAATCTGTCCAGAATCTTCAAGTCCACATTCATGGGGTGTTTAGGGAAGTATTTCTGCGACCATGGTCCAGAATCTTTCAGACCTTGCCAAGTGGGTGGGGGGTCGGTGCCACCAATGAAAGTTTCGGGCCTGGCAAGTGACCCTGCTGACGTGTAGGACATCATTTAGCTCTCATGTGTCATTAATCTTTATTCCCCATAAAGCGTAGTCACACTAGTCACTAGGGGTTCTTACGGTAGTAGTTAAGCTGTGCTTAGATCGGTGTGCCGCACGGGCGTGTGCGGCTAATTCGCTGCTATTTGCAGTACATTCATGCCTCTCGAAATCCTGAAAGTGCATTTCGACTGCGCAGGCTCGCAGAATCTGGGTGGCTGGAGCGTGTGCTTGTTGCGACTGCGCTCTCGTTGTGGTGCCGTGCGCATTTTCGGACATGGTGGTCACTTTTCGTGGCAGGCGCAAGTGCAGACTTCGTGGCAGGTGCAGCACTTTATAAGGTGGTGATCTTGGACGCGCTCCAATTTCGTGACAGGTTCTGTGAACCGTGACTTTTCTACATGTGGCTCGTTTTCAGAAATCGTGGCAGGCGCAGTACTTTAGGAGTAGTACTGTGTGGACCTTGAAGTGCAAATTTCGTGGCAGTTCTTGGCAGGTGCAGTACTTCCTGGACCTTGAAGTGCAGATTTCGTGGCAAGCGCAGTACTTTGTGGACCTTGAAAAGTGCAGGTTTCGTGGGAGGGTGGGCCTGGTTGCACTGGTGGAGTAGTGCAGGAGCTTCACCATCAACGGTCGTTGGCTTCATGCTGCGAAGTCAATATTTGTACTAGAGATCGTAGGCCAGGGTAGCAGGAGCGTTCGTGTCACTGCTTTGACTGCCATCCTGGATGTCGGAACAACCTCAGAGAGGATCTTGTGGTTTTTGCCTTGGTTGTGCATGTCTTGTCACATCCAGGACCAAAACCAAAACAATGGCGGTTGGAACAGCACGACGTGGAAATCAGGTGCCGCGCCTTCTGTTGTTTTGCCGATTTTTTTCCCATGCAACTGGCCATTTCCACATCCCGGGTGTTCGGAGCAAAACTCGTCGGGTTTGATGGTGACACATCGCATTTCCATTTTGTTTGTATTGGATCACTGCCAAACCGCTACTTTGCGCGATTGTTTTGTAATTATTAGCCATTGTTGAACCAATCTTCACAGCCTTTTGCGTTATTCTTCCCAAAACCATGGGTGCTTCAAAATTGGGTCCTTTCAGATGTCACCGCTCCTTGCAGCTGGTGACCCTTAATTAGGAACAGTTTGGCGAACTGGATATCGATGTGTTGGTCACGAAGTGGCGGGTCATACGCTCTCCCTCTGGATTCTGACTGTAGATCAATCCTTCTGGCAAGTTTTCGGAGGTTTGTACATGTTTAATCATGTTTGCGCCTGTGTCACATGGAAATGGACCATACCCTTGAAAGGATAAGGATGGTTGTCCTCCACTTGGTTCTTCAGTTCGTGAACCAGACTGAGATCCTGGGTGGTTCACAGCCAGGGTGGCCTCCAGCCAGGGTCACTGGCTGGGACCCTCAAAAGGCTTTCAAGAAGGCGGGCACATTGCCTTCATCCATCAATCCACTAGTTTTTGTTTCCCCAAACAGTGTAAGGGTTCTTACCTTAGACCTTCAGACACCAGGTTTGGGGTCTCTTGCCAGATCATTTACACCACATCCTCGTGGAGTCGAATTCTCAGCATCCGCATCGAATCTCCGCCCCAGTCGAAGCAGAATTCGCCGACCAAACGATCCACAGACGAAAACACGAAAACCCCTCAGTTCGACCATCCGAAAAGGGATGGTCCCGTTCGTGCGGCCCTTTGTGTGCAGAATGAACCGGCCGAGTTGGGCCGGTTCGATGAAAAAGGCAGACATATATGATATCATATAAATCATGATCCATGCATGGTTGGAATATCTATCTATCTATCTATCTATCTATCCATCCATCCATCGATCGATCGATCGATCGATCGATCTATCTATCTATCTAGTAAGGCCTCTGTGTGTGTGTGTCATTAAGTGGAGTGACAGAACTGGGCTGGGATCAACAGTCGCGCCGACGTGTCATGACGTCAGACACCACCAGCACCGGTGCGTCCGGAGATCAGCAGTGGTGGAGTTGCAGCCTGGCGCATGAGGGCAGAGTTGATACCGATGTGTGCCTAGATTGTTTGGGAGATCCCAAGATTGGAGAGATCCGGGATGATCTTCCTGAAGATATGAAAGTCATCACATGGGAAGCCCCTTTTTGTTGCTGCGAAGAATAGGAACGTCTATGGGCCAACTTGGTTTCGTTCATACGGTCCCCTTGGGTGAATGCCCTCCCCGGCGAATGGAACGGTCAATTGACCAGTGCGTGGATTTGCTTGGCATGTTGCCGTGGTTTGTGTTTTTTTTTGTTTGGTCTTGAGTGAGCAAACACCTGGATCTTGGTTGGCTGGAATCTGGTGTTTTTGGGGTTTCTTGTTCGAAAGCTGAGGAATCGAACCAAGAGCTGGAGAAGAGCTCATCTTGTGAATAGTGACTAGTTGGGTGCGGAAGGCCTGCCAGGCTGGATGCATTTTAAAGCAGATCCTCGATGGGCTGATCGCATCAAACTGACCGGTTTCAACCGCCGGGAACTGTCCCATCCACCCACTGCCACTGGATGGGACAGGCTTAGACCGTCATAGATAGAAAAGGAGGAAGTGCATTGACATCCTATCTATGACAGAAGGAGGAAGTGAAGGATGCTTAGATGACAGGGGGTCATAGACCCACTGTAGAAAAGATCCCCACAAAAAATGGAGGAAGGACACCCGTTTCATCCTTCACTTTGTATTGGAAGTGCGTTGACATCTTGGGGAGAGTGGAGATGTATTGAGCAGCCTGCAATGGGTCTGTTCTATAACCAGATTCGGTAGTCGTCCATGCCAGTCCTGCCTCAGTTTCCCTCCATGAATTTCATTCATGATGCCTTTGGAGTCACGTCAAGCTAGCCATCAATAGGTGAGGAAGCATGCAATTGGGTGACGTTTCAGTGGGAAACAAGCGGCCATGACTTGTACTGTAGGCTGTGTGAGACTGACATGGTTCTTGGTTTTGGTTTGATCGATACTAATCACGTGCAGTGAAACTGAAACCGCGGGCTTCTTGCTGCTTTGTTCTACCGAACCGACCTTACCTGGTTTTTTGGCTGTTTGAGTACTGGCCAACTTGTGTACACCATTGGCTGCTTTGCAATGCTTTGATTGTGCTCAAAAAAATGGTGATCGATCATCTCGCATATCAGAGGATTTGTCCACCAAGGATGGTCAGACATTTGTCCGCTTGCTTCCATTTGTCATTGGCATCTCGCCCTTAGCCCTTAAAGGTTGCTTTCTGCAAGAACACCCCACGAGAGCTCAGTTCTGCTCTCCCCCATCCAGCTCACTGAACGAACCATACCAATCAGTCCGTGTGTGGAATTGTCAAATTGTCCAAAATTTGCATGCAGAATAGGATATGAGTGGATAAAGCATGGTCAACAGAACAATTCTAGGACCCACAAGGGGTGGTTGATGGACCCCCTCAAAATTTTATATGGACATCCCTGACAGGACGTGCTGGTTGATGCTTTTAGAAAACCGCTCGTCGTTCAGTTTCATTCACCTTTTGATCACCTCATCTCGTGCGGCAAGACAACCAGCTGTGCCATGGAATCGGACAGTCTGCCACCTTAGGTGTTAGTGCGCCCCACGGAATCGCGGACGGCGGGCGGTGCCGTGCGGAGGGAATCCGGACCTGCAGTCACAGGACGTCCGTCGGTGATGCGTCGGCACAGAACATGTGAAGAGGCACAGGTAGATCCCAGGCCTCAAACAGATGTCTTGAGCCTTGCAGATTCACTGCAGAACCACCCGATCTGCGGCTTATCCGGCGCCATCGATTCCTTGCCTGCCTGTTTGCGTCTGGGACCCCTCGAGCCGGACCTGCAGGGAGCTGCGGGCTCCTCCGCAGATCCGCCGTTTCAGCATTATGACGCGCTTTAGCCGAGAGCGAAAGGTCACCCCGCGGTCAGTCCGCGTCAGTCCGGTCGTTGGATCGATTCGGGTCCGATCCCGGACGGAGCGCGGTGCGATCCGGATGGTTGTGTGTTTTTTGCCGGCAGAGGTGTTATTGTTTTGGGAGGGGGCATGAGTGACAGTCAGTGATTCGTTTTGAGGTGAAGGATGGCCAGTGGTTGTCAGAGATCAAGAAATGATGCCTGGTTGTGTCCTAGGGCTGCAACTACCTTCTGAGTAGGTCTTTGGGGTGGGGGTGATGATGGGGTGATGGGTTTGACTTCCTTCTGAGGATGTAGTTGGAGCACTTGGGGGTGTGAGAGACAATGTGTTGTCACTTGTGTTGTCGTCATGCTGTGCCAGGCAGCCGTTTCGGCTACAGGTTATATAATATATATATATAGGCATGTCTTTTTTGGTGGCCAAGGCAAATGGAACTTGTGCAGGTAATGAGGCAGCCTCTAGCGCCTGAAGGCAGTCTATATCTCAATCAGACTTGATGCTGAAGTCCGTACATCACTGGCTTGGCAAGCCGGGGATTTCATTGTAGATTTCACTCATTCTGACATGCTTTGCTGCCCAACAAATACTCCGAAAGATCGTATCGGATTGCCTCTTTAACTTTGCCAGCAGTCAGTCTTATCTTTATAGCGCAAGCCTCATGTTTGTGCTCGAGTATGGACCCTCATCTATGGGTTTGGTTCGGGACCGGCTGTGAACGGAGCGTCAAGGAGCATAACACACCTCCTCCAAACGGAAGAAACGCTTCGGTTTCCTGGGCGCGGAGTTCCAACCCGCCATGGCGATGTGATGGCACAGCGCGGGGGGAAAGCCCCGCGCGGGGAGGATGCGAGGCACGGCAGGGTTTCACATGGGGCGGGTGGGACGTTTGGGACACCAGGCACCTGGAGATGCGGAATGCGCAAAGCCGCAATGCCGATGAAACTCGGCCAACGGCAGCTGGTTTGCTGTTCCGAAGCAATTTATCTCCCCAGTTCAAAGTCCGATACATTGAGAGAAGCATGCATATATATCCTTCAGCGCAGCAGATTGCATGAACTCCACCTCCGTAACCTTTCCCAGAAGTCTATGTACCACACCGGGGATCCCATTCCTTTCAGCTGCGCAGTTCCATTCCGGGCCACTCCGCCCCATCCATTCGTGGCAACACCATGGCGGAGCCTGTGGATGAACTGGCCATGCCGGAGTTGGTGCGATTGCTCCTGGGCAGCGAGCACGCACCCGGCACCGGCGAGTACTCGGGCGTGGACTTGGACATACTTGGACATAAACCAAACGCGCCGTGGACGAGGCGAGATGATGAAGTGATGTTTAACTAGAGGGAAGATAATCTTCTCCGAGCTATGAACATGAAAGTACAAAGCCACCTGTTTCACCCTCTTTCACCTGTTTGTCTAACATGCTATAATAATAATAAATGGATGATCTTTCGTTTCGATCAAGGCCGGGAGTGCACCTCCTGTTGGAACGACCAGCCAGGGCCATCCGACCGGTTGGAAGATGGGAAGGTGAAACGCCCAGCGACGCAGGTTCGTTGCAGCGCAAGAGGCGCTTCATGAGACCGGCAAGAGACCCCAAACAGTGTGTGTGAGGTGAGGCCGGTGAGGCCCTGAATACCCCTAGCGTGTTTGAACCCCTAGTGTGACCACACTGTTTGGGGAAACAGCTCCAGCCGGCCCTTGCAATAGTACTGGCTGCTTGGATGTTGGCCTTGTTGGGAGATTGGAGCTTGAGGACTGGAGACACACACACCATGGGAGTCCCCTATTGAGGGCCGAAGAAAAGAAGAGAAGGGGTGTCCATTGACCGACTGTGGGTCTTTGAGAGTTCTTTGGTGCTTTCTTTTGGAGCCAAACATGTCGAATCAAAGCATATGTTTTCTTCGCAGCGTGTGCAGCTTCTGGGTGCCCGTGCTTTTCAAGAAGTCATCCTCGTTTAAAAAGGGAACTCATATTTTCCGCAACTGGGGAACTCTGGGGAAGTGTATACTTTAGGTGTACTTTAAGGTGTCACATCCACCCTACCACTTTTGGCATTCATCAGAACCTACTGCGAAGCCGGCACACTTCGGGTTCAGCTGCAGGTTACAAGAGCTGTTGGCCCAGTACCAAGACCCCCTCTTCCAGTTGCAGCTCCAACAGCTCCAGCTGCGCGCTTCTGTTTGGTGCGCGTCGGACGTGCGTGCGGCCAAGAAGGCTTTGGCAGCCAAAGTACAGGAGCCGATTTTGCCGCTCGGATTTACTCAGGGCGGACTGAACAAGCACAGATGACATGCACAGATTTGCTCGGGGTGCTTCCTGACAGTGAGAAGCTCGTCGTGAAGGAGATATTCAAACACTTAAGTAGACACAATTCACAAAATGGTCCTGATATATGATGATGTATGTCAATAATTATGTTGATTGATAAAATCGACCATGATATCAAATCCCTACACTTCAAAGTTGAAATTTGACTTCGTATTTGCCAAATACTATGTTTGGCCCGTTAAACATCGCATTTGATAAAACGGGCCCGCAGCCCTCAGAGCCTGGATACCTTGTGCCAGTCTGCAGTGCTCCAGGGCAAAAAAATGTTTTATATCCAACCAAAGCTTGATACGTTTAACAAAAGGAGCTTTGCCGTGTTTCCGATGTGTTGCAAGGGTATTAATTGAGAGATCACATATCTTAAGACACAAAACAGAATCAAAAGGATTTCTTCGCCGGGGCTGGTGAGCTCCATGGCTATGAAGTTGCCAAAATCAATCAACTGGTCCGCAACAACTTTAGGAACAGGTCAAACGTGGAGTGTGATTTTAGAAACCTCTAGCGTGAAATACCGTGAAATGAGCGTTAAATCAGCGTGAAATGCGATGTTTACCCGTGAAATAGCATGTTTAACTGTGAAATCAGGGACCCTGTTTCCTTCACACCCTTGGCAAAGTCCTGGACTGCTTTGTGGCCGGATGTGATAGATCACGGAGGGAGAACAGGTGAACTGCCCAAGATACTGGCTTGACATCAGGACTTTTGAGGGCAGCTTTGCTATTAATAGAATTCTGGGAACAGTATCAGCCTATTGACTGGTCATGGAGTGTTTGCTTAGAGCAGTGATTGAAAAAGTAACAACTGCGAGGAGTCAGTGGGGACACCTTCATCTTCACCAGAACATGTTGATATGGGATGATGGGAGGTCAAACATTGCATTTGCAGGTTAAACATTGTATCTCCGTAAATACTATGTTAAACTCCGTATTTGATGAAATGCTATGTTAAACATCGCGTTTGGACATGTAGGGAAATTATATCCAAATGGAGGCGTTTTGCCAGCGGTCACTCGCTCACTGACCCGAGAGAAAGAATCCGCGAAAGCGGCCCGGTTGGTCCCAGCTGCCAGAGCTCATCGACTTTGTACGGTGACAACAGGTGTCCAGAAACCACCCCTTACGGGCCAGAATGCCACCATATGCCACCTGTTGGAAGGTCCTGGAATATGATGGGTGATCAAGTGTCATGGGTGGAACTGATTCTGGTGTTGCTTTTCAGGATATCCTTTTGCGTTTTGTTTTGCCTAAACATGTTCCGATGGCTCACCACAAGGCCTGAGGAGATGCATAATGATGCATGAAATGTATCCTAGGAATTCTTAGGATATCTTAGGATTAAATTTTGGTAACAAGCCACCGGATGGGGGAAACCCCAAAAGGGAAATCCTGAGCTACCATCAGTTGATCTGCTTGTTCAACGGGTTCCTGGCTTTTCCTCCCCACCTAGCCCCCGGTTCGCAGCTGAAATGATGCGGACCCTAGGCAGCGCTATCGCTTTCCGCCGGGAGAGGCCGGGCTCTTGGAGCTACGACACCTGGTCCGGCGCCGAGTGGCTGAGGGCTGCCAGCGTGGCTCAGCTGAAAAGAGGGCCACAGTCCTAAGGAGTCCAGCTCCTGTGCCATGCCTATTTTTGGGCTGAGAAAGGATGGATTTGGGCCGAAAGGATCCTTTTTTACTATCCTCAGCTTCAGAGGTTCCTACTGGTGCATCCAGTGGCCGATAGACGCGGTTCGAATGTATATATTGCAGAGATACTGATGATAGTACTGATGATCATAAATCATAAATACATACGTTAGATTAATGGTAACTGAGCCCAATTTGGTGGAAACTGGCTCTTGATCTCCGCTACCAATGTGCTATGTTGCGTCCCACCCACCCCTTCAGGATGATGCTTGTATTTGCCCTGTTCTTCTCCAACTCCTGTAACTGGGAGGTTTCTACTCTGGACCCAAAACTCGGATGCTCATCATCCAATCCGCAACTCGGAAGTTCAAACTCCTTTTGTTTGTGGTCCTTGGATTACACACTAAAACATACCAAAGCCGAGCTTGGAAAATGGCACATTGATAGCGGAGTGCTGGGGCCAAATGGCACATTGATAGCGGAGTGGGTGGGCGAGATGGCACATTGGTAGCGGAGATCAAGAGCCAGTTTCCACCAAATTGGGCTCAGTTACCATTAATCTAATTTTCATATATGGTAGTGGTCGGCCACCAAGAGTGTATTTGAGGTTACGGTTGTAGACCTTTCTTTAACAGGCCTTTTTCGTGACCTCTTACACCGGGAAATCAAAGGACGGTCACTTTGAAGGACGGTCTAGGACCAGGGCTCCTGGCCTACCTTCGTTTCGGACTGGGGTGGGTGCCGCCTCAGCACCGAACCTGAGGATATGGGCCAGGAGCCCTACATTCATTACATTCATGACGGTTCCTTTTTGGGGGGTGTCTCTGACTGGGCATCCAGCCACTCAAGGTGTGGAGTCTCTGGCGAACTTGACACGGCAAAGCCTGGGGCTCCCCAAGCTCGAAGTGTGTCGAAGCGTGGAGGAGGTCCTCGAAGAGCAGAGGAGCAGACGAGCGGAGGGTGCGGCATGGTGCGGCCAGTGGGGCTTCTGATGTGTTGATTTGCTTCGAGTGATTCCTCAGGCTCCTAATTTTTGTAAGACCAGACTTGAGGACACATGACTGTCATGTAGATTGAGAGCCTTGAGAGCCTGTATACACCTTCGCACATAGATCTACCCTCAAAATCCAACAGATCAAGAGGTAAGTCCTTTAATCCGCGAGGTAAGTCCGATCAAACGCATCGTTGAAATCCCAGAAAGGTCCTGCCCTGGGCGCCCACGGCTACTGTGTTCGGGATTTCGTTGGGGAGCTGCCTGCTTTCCGGTCCCACGGTTGCTTTCGATGCTGAAGGGGGGCATGCTTTCGATAGTCCTGTAATTACCAACCGCACATATATGTGTAACATGCGAATTATATACTGGGATGGATTTCTAGTAGTTGAATATAGTTGATTTTCAATAAATATGGGTTTCCCTTTAGCTTACCTTGTTCCTTCTGCCGCCCCCTTCTCAGCAGCTGATGCTTCCATAGGGTGGATCTTCATTGTAGCTCAAGTACTCACAAGATGACAAGTGAAGGATGTTGATGTCCCTCATTGGGTCTAAACAAGCCAAGTATATAGCCCTTTGGATGTGTTGTTTCATGTTCTTTCAAATCCGTAGGGTAGGCAACAGTGGCTGGGGAAGGATGTTCACCAATGTTCTACCACCGACATCCGGTTAGGACTGTGAGTCACTGAGTCGATATTAATGGAATTGGCATAAATCCAAGCACATGCATGAATCAACAAAGCCATGTCACTCCCGGGATAAGGTTCTACTGATGGCTGCGGTGGGACCAGTTCCGACCCAGGCATCACTTTGGAGTGGGGTCAGTTAAAGGGAGCCTGTGGCAATAAACAAAAATAATGAATGCAACATGTAAACTTGGACTGAAGATTTGAAAGTCACCAGAATGTCATTACCTCTTCATGGCATCCACCATCGATGCTTCGGGCCACTTGCCTAACAATCCTGACTGAAGTCCGGTAGTCATCCAGCTTCTTCCTCATGGCAGCGCCTGCGGAAGCAAAGAGGCAGCCAAGCTGAAGCATCAGAAAACTATCACCAGCTGCACTGAATCCTCTTTAGCCAGCTTCAATCACAGGATCATTTCCGGGTCCAGCGAAATCAGACCCCCCTTAGAACACTCACTGACGCGAGCGAGTGTGCTAACAGGGTGCGACGATCGCACCCTGTTAGAACACTGTTTATTTTTGAAATACACCTAGTCTATCCCATACTCTCCAGATATTTTTTAGAACAGTCCCTGGCTTGATGATTGATTTAAGACATGAATCCACTAAGCACTTTGTCCAGCTCCCCGGAAATGATCCTGTGATTGAAGCTGGCTAAAGAGGATTCAGTGCAGCTGGTGATGGTTTTCTGATGCTTCAGCTTGGCTGCCTCTTTGCTTCCGCAGGCGATGCCATGAGGAAGAAGGCTGCTGGATGACTACCGGACTTCAGTCAGGATTGTTAGGCAAGTGGCCCGAAGCATAGATGGAGGATGCTTTACAGGGGTGATGAAATCTGGATGACTGTTAATTCAACAGTCAGTAAATTCAATCTCCCACAACCTGCACCTTTAACTCAGCCAACTACCAAGGGATGCTGGACTTAAGTGCAGTCAGAACTAGTTCCAGTAGAATCTTACCCCGAGAGTGACATGGCTTTGTTGATTCATGCATGTGCTTGGATTTATGCCAATGCCATTAATATCGACTCAGTGACTCACAGTCCTATCCGGATGTCGGTGGTAGAACATTTGGTGAACATACTGTTGCCTACCCTACGGATTTGAAAGAACATGAAACAACACATCCAAAGGGCTATATACTTGGCTTGTTTAGACCCAATGAGGGACATCAACATCCTTCACTTGTCATCTTGTCAGTACTTGAGCTACAATGACATCATTGTAGCAAGGACCAATGTGAAGTGAAGATCCACCCTATGGAAGCATCAGCTGCTGAGAAGGGGGTGGCAGAAGGAACAAGGTAAGCTAAAGGGAAATCATTTTTTCTGAAAATCAACTATTCAACTACTAGAAATCCATCCCAGTATATAGAACGATGAATCATATATAACTTATATTTAATATATATATATATACATCACATGACATTACATTACTCATCATTCCTCCAGACCAGACATATCTTTGGTACCAATCTCTTTTCTTCCTCCGCCCGATGTCATGCCCCCGAAACCGCCCTTCGCCCCGGGCGCAGGAAGCAAACCCAAGAGGCTCTCCGCTGCGACGTCTTGGGCCGTGTTCCGGTGCACGTGCGCGCCAGCTGCGTGGAGCGTGTAGCCAGGGAGGTGGCACAGCAGTGCATCAGCAGATGCCATGGAGAGCTCTTGACGGAGCTTTTGAGGCCGGTCCAGGTGGTTTTTTTAGTGCTTCACGTAGGGCTCGGGCGGAAGTGGAAGACATCCCAGCAGGTCGGGCGAAACTCGCCTGGCCGACCTCCCAGGTCCGGCGAGGTTCCGGTTTCCGCCGTCTTGTCCATGCTGACCATGGCGCGGAAGGGCCTGCCGCTGCTGAGGCTTCGCAGGCTTCGCCACTGGGCAGAGATTGGAAGAGTTGTGACGCAGTGGCGAAGTGGCAACGAGAATCAAAAGGTAACTTTATTTAGTGTCTTCGTGGGTGGGTGTCCTCTGTCTATTACTCAGAGGTCGACGGTCGACATGATATTGCCATTGTGTTCACGTACAATGTGATTTTCACATGTTGTTTTGTGATGTTTCATGTTCTGCGTGCCATTTTGGTTCTATAGTACAATGTTCAGCCAGTCATCCCACCTGCGAACGGTGAAAATGGCATGGCTGAATATTGTACACAAGTACTGCATCATGTATTCATACTTTTCACGCTTCTCATTTGTTCTTTAGTGGCGGTAATCTTCTTCCATTTTAGGCTTTGTTGCATTGGTGGCGGTAGTTCCATTTTAGGCATTTGCATGGCTTCATTTTACCCCGCAGCTATTTGTTGGGAAGAGCAATGGATCCTTCCTCTCTCAACCGGGGTCCCCAGAGTGAGCCATCCCGTCCGAAAGCTCATTTTAGATTGCCGCCACACAGCCGTGAACTTGCTCCGCACAGAATTGATGATGTTGCCGTTCCGAGTCAAATTCGACCAAACCTTACTATGACTCCAAATCCATGCCCAGATGCAGCACCCCTGTATCCCCCAAGGAGGACTCAGGATTTTTCGGACTTCACTCCCCTTCCACCACCAGTTTTTCATAGCTATCGTCGGAGTCAGCCATATCCTTCAACAATCAGACCTGTCTTGGTCAATGATTTGTCCTCTGAATTGAACCCTCCCCCTGTGCGTGCATCGTCACTCTTGGGTTCAGGCTTTCCCGCCTTGCAACAAGCTCACGAACTCCGACAACGACGACTTGCAGTATCCTTGTTCCAACAAGTTTGTCATCATTGTTGTCACTTTAGCAACCTGTTTGGTAGTGATCAATCACTGTTACTTCGTTCGGACATGACTGCTCTTTTGGTTCGACAATTTAGTCCAAGTACTATCAAGCGCTATTGCATTTCAGTTTTGAATCTAATTCAATGGCTTGTCGATCTGGATTTGGATTTGAACACTTGCACAACCATTCAATTGGTTGATGTCCTCCGCTTGATGCATTCAGAGTGGTCAGAGACGGACCCGGACTCAGATTCGTTGCAACTTTCGCCGTTGATCAGCCTTAATACATTGAAAGCTATCCGCTGGACTTCTAAAGTCCTCCAACTCCAAATGATAGATCTTTACTCGCCCATTTTTAGTAGTTTGTCGTTTTCATCCAAAGAAACGCACGAAAGCTTTCCCTTACCCCTGTATGTCGTCCATGAACTTGAACTTTCGTTGCTCGAAGGCACTAGTTCCCTTCGAGATCGCGTATTCAAAGGTTCACTGTTAGTGTGCATTTGGGCCTCCCTTCGTTTCAATGATGCTCAGCATGTGCATTGGAACAAGTTGATCCTAGATAACCTCTCCTTGAGAGCTGCATGTTTTCAGGCCAAATCCAGCAAATCAGGTTATCCGTTTGCGGTTCAATGCCTTGGATTGATTGCGGAAACCCCGCAAACTAGTTGGTTGTTGAAATGGCTTGAAGCGTTGAATGAAGTTTGGGATGCTTCCATCACCTCTCATGGACCAAACTTTGTTCCAGATCATCTTTTTCCGAGCCTGGACGACTCAGGTGCCATTGTGGAACCAATGTCTTACGCCCAGACCATTGCTTGTTTGCGAAGGTATCTAAATCAAATTGAGGCACTTCGGTCATGTTCTTTAGAATATACTTTGCACTCAGCCAAAGCCACCATGTTGTCATGGGCATGTCAATTGAATTTAGACTCTCATAGTCGTGCTTTACAAGGTCACCACAAACCATCCCTCAAGAGTAGTGTCAACTTGTACGGACGAGACTCAGTGCATGCACCATTGGACTTGCAATCCACTGTTCGCACTCAGATCATTGAGTCCGGCTTTCGTCCATCCACCCCGCTACATCGGGGAGCCCAGTGTCCGGTCGTTGAACCAGCTGTGACATTAATGGTCAAGAATGCCCCATTTGACATCTCTAAGATGAACTTGCATCATTTTCGCATTTTGCTTTCACATGCGCCTCCACTCATCGTCGATCCAATCGAGATCGTGGAAAGTCCTGTGGATTCCCCGCGTACTAATCACATCCCCGACCCCGAGCTTGATGAGCTTTCGTTGTTCATCATTACCCCGAAGCTAGTCCATGTTGCAGCATGGACAGTCCAACCTGGATTGGACTTTCGAGGCAGTGCCTACCGCCCGAAGTGTGGCGCACGTATCGTTCCGGGATCTCAGGTGTCCGAGGAACTTCCTCAGGCAGTTCGGATGTGTAAACGCAAAGCGTGTCTTGCAGCACTTCACGTATTGGAGTAAAAAAAAGGGGGGGACAGTTTGTGGTTGAGCTTTCATTTCTTTCATTGTACTGATAAACTTGCAGATGACAGTTCACATGCTAGTCATCTAAGCTTTTCATGCACTGTGGCATGTTTCAGATGTTGTTGGAATCTTGTTTTGCTTTCTTTCCTCTACTTAGCCTCAAGCTAAATCGGTTACTTCGTCCTCTGTACCTCGATTCCCTACCATGGATCTCCTCGCTGTGCTTCTGACTTTTTGCACTTCTACAGATGGCCTTCATGCAAACCCCGCAGCATTGGATAGATTGGAGCTATTGCGGGAATCTAGCAGATCAATTCTGCACGCATCAGGCCTCTCTCACCTTACCCGCCCTATCGCCGATCTTTGGGTCGCTCTCACGACGATTGAGGCCTATATCAACCACTACGGACTGACATATGTCCAGGCCCAAGCTGCAGCAATCGAGATTCCCGTGTCAAGCAGCTCCCCTGCTGCAGCTCCAGCCCCCCTGTGGGCAATCCGATTCGAGCCGAACTCGGCCGTGCTTCCAGCGGAACTCAGCTCAGCGAGCGATGTATTGCATGAATTGCAATTGATTGATGACCACCCACTATTTGATTCCGCTCTTCTAGTCATAAGCTCAGTGAGAGGATACTTTGATCCTCCGGTAGTTCCAGCTCGTTAGGTATTTTCCAGCTACCTCTATTTAGTGGAAGCTTTTGACTCCCACTTATGACCAGCATGGTCGTACTATGGCTTGAAAAGTCATCGCATCGCGTTTTTGTTTGACAGCATGTCAACAACTTGGTTTCCAGTTGTGGAACCTGCGTTCTATTCAAGCGTACGCGTTCATCATTGCAGTTGTCAATGAGTTTGCTTTGCGTCTATTCCTATTTTGGCTCATTGCCATCTCGCTTTACCCACCAGTTGTGTGGACCTCAGATGCCTATTCTATTTCGAATCAGCATGATTCAAAACAAAGACAAACAACGAAGCTACACCGTCCTTAGCACGATTCTAATTATTCGGTCATGTTCTTCCTTGGTACTCCTTTTTCTCTTTTCTTCTCGTTGAAACATGGCTCGCCCTACTTTTGCAGAGCTTTTGACAGACCTTCGCATTCCCGAGAATATTCAGCAAGTTCTGCTAGATGAGCAGTATGATACCGAATCCTTTGGATTGGTTGCATTGTCATTGAATGACTTGGACAGCGTCCTGGATAGCATGAGCGTGGACCTCTCCTATCGAGCACGTTCTTCTCTCCGTGTTTTGTGGACACGATGCCAACAATTGCATGCTTCAGGTTCATCGCATTCCTCAAGCCTGCTTTCAGGTGACAGCGTTGAGCCATTGTCAGGCACTCGCCCAGGTTCATCTTGGAATGAACCTTTCCCCTCCAAGCTTAGTCCGGATCTCATCCGAGAGCTGCGTGACAACTTTGAACGCCAGTACCCCGGAGAACTGTTGGATCCAGATCTCATGCCATCCAGTCGGATGTTAGCACTTACGTATCAGCAGTTGCAGCGCAAAGAATGGAAATGGATTGCATGGAAGTACCGCTTAAGTGCTAAGTTGCAAGATGAATCTAGCATGATTCGAGCCCGCAAAGCCGCACGTAGCGACCTTACCGCCCTTTCCGACTTGTTGTTGGACGACATACCAGTTCGGGAAATCCCCTCATCGAACATCGGATTGCAGCAGCTTTCACAATTGTTGCACCTGCAGGCTACCGCAGTGGCCTTCTGTCGGGGAGCACACCTGTCTACTCTCAAGAAGTATGTTCATCGCTTCCTGTCATTAGCAAGTCAGCGTTTTGAACCAGACAGTGGTTTACGTCCACCCAATGTTGCTGAACTTCAGTCTGCAGATCAAATCCTTTGGGGAAAGATTGCAGAATTGTACAATTACAAGCAATGGACCCTAGATGACGCGATTCACGAACTAGTGGAAATTCGAGCAGATATGGCTTCTTTGTTGCAACCCCGTCCCTTTGTCCCTCGCATGCTTCCCAAAGGCAAAGGCAAAGGCAGCCCAAAAGGGTCCGGTAAATCGTTCACAAAGGGTTCGCCTAAAGGTGCAACATCCACCAACCGCCCAGCGTGGGGAACAGAAGTCACCCGTGACGGCCAAAAGAAAACGATTTGCTTGAAGTATCAGCAAAAGACGTGTCCCAACCCTAAGGCCTGTAAGCATGAACACGTTTGTGCAGTGTTGAAATCGGATGGCACAGTTTGTGGCCAGAAGCATAGTGCCGCTGACCACAGAGCCGCCCCTTTTTGAAGAGGCCCTGCGTGTTCAGAAAGGGACCACGACACGTCTAGGGTATCCCATGATGTCCCTGCACCTCCTGCTGTAGAGCCTCCTTCTGTATCACCACCTTCTGTTGCATGTATCTCACCCGCTATGTCTTCAGGTGCTGCCATCATTGTGCCAGGGCCTAACCTGTTTTTGGACATTTGCAGTGGCCCCAGTGCTCCGCTCAGCACCGCTCTTGACCACATGGGTCACGCTACGTTAGCAGTTGACCTGTTGATTTCACCCGCAATGGACCTTCTCAATGACATGTATTTTGAGAACTTGTTGCGCTTATGTGCTTCGGGCCTTGTTGCCTACTGTGGAGCTAGTCCTCCATGCAGTGAATTTTCACTCCTGAAGCTTCGAACTCCCGGACCCACCCCGGTACGAACGCACGAGTTTCCCTTAGGCATTCCCAATCCCACACCCACCGAGCAAGACCGGATCCAACGCAGCCGCGAACTCTTGCATCGTGCGGTGTGTTGCTTACAGCACACCTTCGCCGCGGGGGGCCACGGCCACCTCGATCTCCACCCAACGCATTTACTTGGTATGATCCGGTCGTCAAATCCTGGGTAAATCAGCAGGCATGTCATTGTGTAGTTCTAGCTGCATGTCAGTTTTCTTTGAACATGTCAAAGCACTGGATGTTTGCCTGCAGTCACGATTGGTTCGTGGAACATGCCAGTCAGTGCCCTCATTCGAACCATGCTCCGTATGCAGGTATTCGAGATGAGTCGGGCACATACCTCAGCCGAAAAACTGCTGAATATCCCAAAGCTTTGGCTACTGTGTTGTCCCACAAGTTGAGTGCCCACATCGGCCCCCGCATCCCAGAGTTGACTCTAGAGCATGCCCTCAGTTTGATTCCTGTCAAACCCCTTCATGATCCACCCCACGCGTTGCATGATGGTGGTGGACGAGGTAGCCAACCAGACTGGAGTTTTCCTCCGAATGTTCCGGATGTTCTCAAACCCCTTCGTGACCGCTGGATCGCTTTGATTTTGGAACAGAATTTGCACAAAGAGTTTGTTGCTCACATGGAGCAGCAAAACCCAGATCCCCCGTTTTCGGAGGAATGCATTGATAAGTTTCGGGAAGCGTTTTCTTCCTGGATTCCAACTGATTGGTCAGTACGACCTCACCAACCTATGTGCCTGAATGCCCTCCACCACCTGAGCCAGCACATTCATGACCCGGATTCTCAGGTCTTTCCCTGCTTAATTGCAGGAGTATCAGCCGGCACCTCGGATGACCCGATACGTGCAGTCAGGTCTTTTGGGAACGAGATCTTAACTCTGATACCGACCCTCCTTCTTTGCAAATCCATAGAGGTAATTGGAAATCCAGTGAAGACCACCCTGAACTCACGTGGGAACTCATCCAAAATGAGATCGATCAAGGATGGGTTTTTGAGTTTGATGGAGATGAAACTGATGCCCAACAAGCATACCCCCAAGGAGTTGGATTGGGTAAATTGGGAATTGCATTCTCTGATTCGCGGCCTCCCAGATTGGTACTCGACAGTAGTGTCTGCAACACAAATCAGAATTGCACTATCCCAGAACGCCAGTGCTATCCGTCAGCTCGAGACGTCGTTGAGAGTTTTCCTCTTCGACAGTGTTCGGAGCCTCAGCATGCTGCCACGTTCGACATTAAATCAGCTCACAAGCGAATCGTCCTATCCGAACGCCATCAAGGATTAGTCGGATTCACCTTTCAAGGTCGACTTTTCTTCTATAGGGTTTGTCCCTTTGGAGCTACCTTTAGTGCCTTTTGGTGGGGTCGACTCGGAGCATGGCTTGTTTGAGTATGGCATCGCCTGATTTGGGTCCAACACGGCTTATGGCTGTTTGTTGACGATTTCTTGCTCACTCAACCGAAGTCCATCCTTCCGTTGTTTGCCACTCTTCTTGCCCTCTTCTGTCGAGTGTTTCGTATTCCTCTCAGTTGGAAAAAGTGCACCCTTGGGCCCATGGTGGATTGGATCGGATGGCGATTCAACTTCTTCAATGGTCTTGTCAGCCTTCATCCTGACAAACAAAACAAACTCTTTGCCCAAATAGAGGAACTTCTCAACCATCGTCATTGCTCTAGCAAACAGCTGGAGCGCTTTACCGGCCTCGCATTGTGGATCACTCAGTTGTTCCTTCCCTTTCGGGCTTTGCTGCATTGGCTATTCTCTGACCTGCACACTTGTCCTGCCACTCACTATAGTGTCGGCCCAGGATACTGGACATTAGTGAAGTCGTGTCTCTCGGATGACCTCAGTAGTCCTTCCGGAACAGCAATTCCCAAGCATTCTAAACTCCTCTCCGTTCGACACACTCCCGTCCAAACCTTGCAGGAAGTTGAGGCCGTTAGATTGACTGATAGACGATTGTGGCTTCGGATTGTAAATCCTAGTTCTCAACAAAACTGTCTGTTCACAGTCGACGTGTACTGAAGTTGTGGCTTCAATGGTTGACCGTCTCAACGCCTCTTCGAACCATGCGCCCATCCTTTCAGGCACCTATTCAGGCAGCAGCCGACGCCTCTGCCCAAGGGGACCTGTTTCAAGTCGGCGGTTTCGTTGCATCCAAGCAACAAATCTTTTGGTTCGCTGAGCAGTGGCGTGTCCACGAAATTAAGAAGTTCGACATCCCCGTTAGATCAGAAGCTCAGCGTGATATTGCATGTTATGAAACCCTCGCTCAAGCTTTCCTCGTACTTTTGTGTGTAGCATTGTGTCCTCACGCATGCGGTCCCCTGCACTTCAAAAGTCTCAGTGACAATGCTGCTACAGAGGCTAGTAGTAACAAGCTGTTTACCACCTCAGCCCCGTTGTGCTACTTTGTCGAACATTTGGCCCATATTCTAGTCTCGGCACGAGTCAGCTGTGATATTTCGCATATCCCTGGAATTTTGAACCACGATGCTGACCTCCTCAGCCGTTGGAACTTTCATGATTCCTTGCCCGTCAAGTTCGCAGCAGACACGAGGCATCGAATGAGCCTCGAGCAGTTCTTCTCGTTTCACCGGGGAGCCCAGATTCATCCGGAAACATTTCCGGTCCAATGGTCAATTGGTAACCATTGAACTCTGCACTTTTCATTCCACTGCCACTCAGAGCGCCTAGGGAGACCTGTACCGAGTGTTGTTGGAATGCTGTTTGGTGATAATTGTCCCAACAACCTCTGAAGCAACAATAGCAGTGAG